AGTTGTACACTTGAATGAAGCGTACAACTACGCTTTAGTTTTACCAGTGCATCTAGCAGCGCAGTCGCCGTGCTCTCTGCCCGCTGCGCGAGAGTCCAGTGGAGTCCTGCCCCGGAGTCAAGCATGCGAAGCCCTGCGAAGTCATCGCCTGCAGACTGACTACCAGGGTCGCTTTCGTCGTTCTGTCTCTCTCGAACTCACGGGGCATTCCCTATGGGCACAAAGAGAGACGGAGCGATGAAAACGACTCTCGGAATCAGTCTGCTGGAGTCATTGCACGCACTCTCATCCTTCAATTGGCATTTTATTAATATTCATTGACGATTGTGCACATTAATAGGATTTCGTTAAGGCCGTAGGAGCGCAAAATTTTTTTTTCGCTAATCGATAGTGATTGATGTGTTGAACCATCATGTCGAACCGTTTTGCCCTGCGACGCTTAGTTTAGGCGTCGCGACGCCTCAAAGTTCGAAATTTTAACATTTTTGGAAGCGCCGATTGAGAGAATGAAAAGTCGCAGCGACCTGAAATTTTGCACACATGTTGGCAGTGACCATATGAAGGGCAAGTGGTGTTTTGATTTGCGTCCCAAGTTCCAGGAGCACTCCTGGAACGCCTTGAAAGTAAGTGATTTTTGGAAAGCCACTGAGAGGGACCTAATAATACGGAGAGAAAGCGAAACCCCAAGTGCCCTAGGCCCAATCTTCCTCTTTACGGCAAAGTTTTCCCGATGACGCCACGACTTGTGGTTTTCGAGATCCGTGCGTTAGAAAACTACCCAGATTTGCAGGTCCTGCACCAGTAGAGAGAGACAGGCTGCTTCGGCCGATGTGTTGTTTCCGTCGCACACCGGAGCTCGAGGCAGGTAGTCGGGGTCCGGGGTGACGCGCCGGGCGGACAATAGGCGAGCCGTCAAGGAGCCGTCTGCAATGCAGGCGGCACCGGGCCCCGACCAGTTTTGGCCGATTTTCGTCGCGATTTCGGTAGAAATTATCGTAGAACAGGAATTCAAACACCATTCGACCCAGCTTTTTACAACGAATCTATTGCCGCATTTTCCAAAATCGGAAAAAGGCTCGTTTGAAAATTTCTATTTTGGGTCTTGGGGTTATAAATCAGCCTGTCATCATCGTCGCCTCGGCGCAGCCCATTGTGAAGCAGGCCTCTCCACACAAAAGGGAGGCGGTCCCTTCGCTACCTGAAAGCTTAAATTTTTCTAACGCGTCGTTTGACGCTGATGGGATGTTCACCATCGTACTCGGGATGAAAATCTCGAACTTTTCATCTAAAAATTAAGTTTCTGCGGCCACTTTTAACAGAGCAATGAGAACAATTTTTTTAGCTATATAGAAATAATCAGTACTTCGCAAAAAATATTTTGTTAAAATTTGGTCGAAACTTTTGATTTTGACCTGAAACTTGGACTTAGGAGTTGAAGACCGACCCCGAGCTCACGAAAAGCTGGCGATCTGCTCCGTGCGGCCCAGGCCGAGCCCCGTGCCGGGGTGTCATTCACCCGCACTCCGGCAGGCCGGCCATAAACAGCCGGCCGAGGGTGCATTGTCTGCGAACCAGGTCTACGGGGCATCGGGACCCCGGCCTCAGACGACTGCGGATGCACCCGAAAACGCTCTCGGATGCTACCATTCTCAGAGTAGCCACCCGCTCCTACGCCCTTAAGAAGCTGAACATTGTCAAGACGAAATTGATTATTTTGTTAGTGAAACAAATAAAAATGTTAATGTGCGTATTAATGTGCACAATCGTCTATACGTTATTAAAGAAAAACTCAGTACGTCTGAGAGTGCGCGGGTCGTCGCTGGCACGCACGCAACAGCGTCTCCCCGGCGCGGCCCTGGCGGCCCTGGCGGCCCTGGCGGCCCGGAGGTCGACGGCGCCGTCTAGGCGTCCTGGCGCCACAGCCTCCTCGCAACAGGCGCCTTGCCACCCCGCCACCCCGCCGTCGCCCACAAGATGTGGGTGCTGCTGTAGCGCTGCCCTACAGTGCCCTGCAGCCCTCGGCTGCCCTCCGCGCGGCTCGGACTTCGTCCAGTGGAATGGGGTGTCGCCACGCCACGCCACGCCACGCCACGCCACGCCACGGGAGAAACGGCGGACTAGGGTGTCCGTCAGTCCGTCAGGCGGAAATGTTATTCATGCGATGCCACCCGGAGATCATGAGGGCTATCAGGAAGTTTGTTGCCAGTGCAAAAAGCTAGACACTGCCGGGGCTTTCGACCACGCGCTCGAGTTGGCGAGGCTGTAGGAAACGACCCTCCTGGCCCTGCCGGCCGCCCCGGCCCCAAGACCCCCCCCCCCCCCCCCCCGGGCCCCAAGCCCGGCCCTCCCGGCACAGTTCGGGGCCCCCGTTGTCCCCAGCCCCACCCTGTCCGGCCTGCCGGCCTGCCCTGTCCCCAGTGTAACCACTTTTCCCAGAGACTGAGTTTTAAGTTGTTTGGAGACCCCTCAGGCTGAGCCGTGCCTGGGGGCGGCGACCAGGTTTCCAGGGACCCCTTTGGTGCCCCTCCCCCCACTATCCCCTCTGGAGAAAGACAAATGTAAGCAAGCTGCTTCCTGACCACCTCTCGATACGCTCCACTGCTTCCGGACAGAGGTAGCCACTCGCCGCTGCAGCGCTCTGCGCGCTCTGCCGTCTCCGCCCGACCCTTTTCTTCCGGCTTTTCTTTTCTTGGGGGAATTCAGTATTCGACCAAGTGAATACAAAACGGCCAGAGCGCGCCGTAGTTGTGGTTTGGCAAAGGTGCGCCGCCTCGACGTGGTCGAAATGGCGTCAAAATTAGCTTAAGTTTGATTCGAACCACCCACTTCGAGGTCTCGCTTACATGAGTTTGGCTTACCGTTCTCCTCTGGTTTGTGTCCACCGCTTTTTCTCGGGGGCTTTTTTGGCTCTCAATTCCCCGTTCTGCTACGAGACAACGTGAAGGTGAATGGAAGCCTTTCTGTCTGTCGTGCCGATGACCCACAAGGGGCCCGTCCCGCCCTCCTCCACTTTGCGAGCAGCGCCGCCGCCTCGCCAGGAGCGCCTGCAGAGCGGTGGTAGGCAACCCTTCGTGCTCGCTGCACAGGCAGCGCGTGCGGGGACAACTTGAACCCGGAAATTCCCACAATGCACCTGTGTCAAAAGGGTTGCCTACCTCACTTGAACTTGATAAAGCCCTCTAACTGTTGTAGGGCTTTAGAACTTGAAAGGCTGCACCAGAAACCTGCCAACTAGGTAATTTCTCGACAGCCACGCCATGATAAACTGACAGGCATAGGCAGAGTGGGCTGAAACTCTTTCGACACTGTTGCTATTGACCGATGATCCACTGGTGCAAAGTAGGAATTTTGCCATAGGTGGCAGCACTGCACCTTGAGCTTGAGAAGGTGAACCACGATTGATGATGCAATTTCCGGACCGGCACGCGCACTGCTATGTATAGTTGCTGAGCGAAGCGAAGCACCCTGTTGGAGGATTTAAACGTTCGAATTGTCCGCCTCCCCCCCGGATACCTTTAGTTTACCATAGGTATCTTATTATTGATCTTAATCTTATACCTTTATATGTATACATAGTCTGAGGTCAATAGTCCGAGGTCAATAGTCCGAGATCAATACTCCGAGGTCAATAATAATTTTCACTTCCTAATTTACTACTGATGAAAATGCATTTCCATCTCCAGCAAAATCCAGCTCAGCAGCGAGACCGAAGGCCTTCCCCCGGCTAGTATGCTTGTACCACGGTGGCGTTAGTCGGTTTGAGCATCGCAAAGTTGCAGGTGAAGGGTGCGGGTGATTCGAAACAACCGAAGACAGTCGAGTCGCGCGGCAACGGTTCCGCTACCAAAAGGCGTTTGTTGTGCGGGCTGCCTATCGCCTGAAGGTTTCATTCCCCTCCCCCCATTCTCCCCGCCACTGACCGGCGGGGGCCACAGCCACGGCAGTCAACAGACTCCCAGAAAAGAAGCGGCTGGTGCAGATAAGAAGTGCGGGGTGGCGCACACTGTGCAGAGGGGCAGGGCTCGCCTAGCCCCGCCAGCCTCGCCTCGCCGACCTAATCAACTAAAAGGGGGTGGAGCTGGCGGTGTGGTGCGTACTCGGCCCGGGACACCGGCCCGGCCTGGCCAGGCCTGGCCTGCTGCCCCTGCCAGCAGGCCCGCCCGCCAGGCCACCACAGCACGTACGGCACGACCACACCGACGACTAGCTTGGCTTGCTGACGGCACAACACGCTCTAAAATGCAGCCAACACCTCGCAAAGAAGGGCATCACAGTCGAATCGATGGCTTTGACCTAACAATGGAGGAAAAAGTCGACGTTCGACGATTTGATGTCGTTCCGACGGCTAGTTTTCTGCGACTGGTTGGCAAAAGGTTTGGCCCAAATCTTGGCATTTCGAGTCCTCCACCATGGAAACGAGCTGGTTTGTTTCTTAGTCTCCGCTTGGCCCCGGGCATAGCGACGGTTTGGCGATGGTTCAGTATTCTTTTCTGCCCGACAGAGCATACATTATAAATAAAGGTTGTGCCGGATCCAATACAGGCGCTGATTTAGGGGGTACGTTATTTGGGGGGGGGGGGGTACGTAATTGCTGCCTCCCCTTGGGTTCTGGACGGCCTGGAAGGTAGGCAAAAAGCATGGCTTTGCCCCTGTAAGTAAGCAAACATCGCAACATTACCCCCTCCTGAGAAAAATCCCGGATCCGCGCTTCAGTTAGGACAACCAGTTTGCCCATCAGGGGAAGGCCCCACGTGTTGTGGCATTTCACACTTTAAACCAACTGTGTGTCTAAGTTGCTGCAGGTATTGCTTGAAATATTTATCGAATATTGTTATTTTTTCGATCTTCTTGCACCTGTGAACGAACTTACTTCCTCCATTCTCTCCAGTTCCAGCCTTACTCCAGTCCCGAACCCTGCCCCAGTCCAGGACTCTACTCTCCGTCCCGCTTTAATTTCTCATACTTGCTGTGAATATGAATCGTGTTTCGGATACGGATACGGTGTCGCCATCTTGAGCCCGCCATTGTAGGCCAAACGCCATTAATGAGTAAACAATACAAGGAGAATGGATTCGACATTTAAATTAGTTGTTAAATGGAGTGGAAAAGAATTTCAAGTAGAGTCTTTATCTCCGAGTGACACCGTAGGCACATTAAAGGATGTCATTCGCAAGCTCACTGGCGTCCTCCCTGAGAGGCAAAAGCTGCTCAACTTAAAATACAAAGGTGAGAACGGACCCAATCTGTTGACATGCTCTAACCTCTTTTTGTTAGAACTCTGTTTGGCCTTTTTTTGTTTGTTTTGCTGATATTTACTGAGAAAATGTCGTTTTCAGGGAAGACTCCGGACGATGAAGTTCATCTTTCGGCCATGAATATGAAACCTGGCTTTAAGATTATGATGATGGGCTCCCTTGAAGAAGAAATTGAAGCGGTGAGCCTTCCTCCAGAGGATCTCCCTGACGTTGTCAATGACTTTGACATACCTGAGGGAGAGGAGGTTGACATTTGCAATAGAGAGGTAACATCCGAGTGTGTGATAAATTCACTCCTTTGCTTGTGTCTTGGCTGATTTTCAGAAGTGCTCTATTTCTTTATTTTTGGTTTGTAGGTGTACCTGTCAAAGATTACTAAACGAATTTCGGACTACAAGATTGTTGAAAGAAATCCACCAAGGCCAGGGAAGAAATTATTGGTACTTGATATTGACTACACTCTATTTGATCATCGTTCACCTGCAGAGACTGGGTACGAACTTATGCGACCTTTTCTTCATGAATTCCTAACTGAAGCTTATAAGGTATGCTGAGACACATTCAATTCTTCATTCAACTAGTTCTTCATTCAACTATGATGATTTTTCCTATAACAATTTATATTTAACAGGATTATGATATTGTTATCTGGTCTGCAACCAGCATGAAGTGGATTGAGGAAAAAATGAAATTGCTCGGTGTGGCCACTAACCCAGCTTACAAAATTACGTTCTATGTGGATTATCTTGCAATGATTACTGTTCACACTCCCAAGTATGGTGTTGTTAATGTATGTGGCACCTCTATTCTCATTATTTTTGTGTATATTTTTCCTGAGTATTGTTAATTAAACCTTTGTTTTGTACTTTTTGCAGGTGAAACCTTTAGGTGTTATATGGGGAAAGTACCCAGAATACTACTCTACTAAAAATACTATCATGTTTGATGATATCCGTCGCAACTTTTTGATGAATCCGTCCAATGGGTTACGAATTAGACCTTTTCGCCAGGCCCATATGAACCGCAAGACTGATCGTGAGCTTCTAAAGCTAACAAAGTATCTTCAAAAAATTTCTAAGGTTGAAGATTTGTCTTCTCTTGATCACCGCCATTGGGAGCGTTATTTAAGTGATAAACATCAAGATGGTGACTCCAAAAACGAATAATGACTTTGATTCAAGGAGAATATACTAAATGAAAAGCTGAATGATTTATTAAACCTTTTCCTCAAATGACTGACACTTTAAGTATTTGTTTTTTTTTTTTACCCTCCATGCTTGCAGCATTTTCATATTATGTAACATTCAGTGCATCTCAATTAATTTGAAAAACTTAATGGCTGTATGGTAAGAATATTTGAAATATCTGCACACTCTACTTGCAAGAAAGATATTCTGAATTACAATCAAGTGAATGCACACAGCACAGTTCAGCAAGTGTGCCTTTTATGTACATTTCATGTCTCCTTTCACAAGGTGTGAAGCTATTGAGTTTGTTTTGGGACAAAAAAATGTACAGTACATATTTTACCCTTGTAAGTATTAAGTATATTTCAGTACCATATAACATCATATATGAATGTATTATACTCAAGACAGGATGACATTCAAACTTCTAAACCAGTTCTATGATTCGCACCTAACAAGAATTCCAAATTTGATTCAAAAAACAAAATGTTTATAGGTCACTTTCAGCACAGGCAGAACTTGCAAAGTAGTCAAAGCAGATACCCTTTGTACATAGTAAGAGAAACACCTCAGTTCATTAAGGCCTCAGACAGATACTGAAAAGGAATGTGATTCAGTAAAAGTAAATTTTCTTTCAAAACTAAGGGAAAGGAGAGAACAGAACAGATAGTTAAGCCCTAATAAATAAGCCACTTAGTCCCAACTAAGTGTGCTGTACAGAAGATAATAGTAGTGAACAACAAGGGAATTTGTACTAGCTCTACAATCACATAGGGCAACACAAAAAAAAGAGATAGATTAGAGTTAAAATATAAAACAGGCTGCTCTTTACAAGTCAATTGGAATTTCAGGAAAAATAAAAATAGTTTGACCTTCCAAAATCATGTACATTTGTTGCAGTATTAATTATTGCTATTTCCTTCAAACCGTAATATAGCAAGGTGAATAGCACAAATTTGAAATAAATAAAAAGGTCCATCCCTAGGTAATCTTCCACTGCTCGGGAAAGAACTACTTAGCATCAAAGAAATCTTTAAAAAGTGGTGGTTTTCTCCTGAATCGTTTATTGGTAGTTTCAGATGATTCCCCCTCAGAATGTGCATTCCTTTCTTCTAAATCTATCATGCACTGTTTACCACTCAAGTCATTGACATTTTCCAGGCTTTTTGAAATATGATTTGACTTGGCTCCTACGATTGAAGGAATTTCTTTAAAATCACTGGAGGCAGAGCTGCTGCGTTTTCTTTTGGTACCTGATGAAACATTCGTACCATTAGGCTCACTAGTCACATCATCCTGGCTTTTGGGAGGACTGTTTACATCTGCAGACGAGCCAGTATCATCATTTGACAGTGGTTTTAAAACACATGAACTGTTTGGGCTTTCAAATCCTTCAAAATCTTCTCTGTGGCCAGAATCAGAGCTAATATTTCCACTACTTGAAGCATAGTTATAATACTTGTAAGTATCTGTAGGGATAGGACTTGATGTTGGGCTCTCCATTTCCACAACACTTAAAGTGAACTTCATGCTTCCAAATATAGGGTCATCTAAAACAACTTCAGTCACTCCAGATCCAGTGTCCCTTTCAATGGGGGCAAAGTCTTGAGTTACAACATTAGAACGAAATCCCACTGGCTGCTCAGGCTGTGTTTCTAACTCATCTTGTACTATTCCATCACTATTGTCAGGTTCATCAACTACTTCTTCGGTAATTGCAGCTGCAGTAGTCACTTCATTAGTAGCCTTTTGATTTAAAGCTTCATCAGTACTAGCCTCATCCATAGCAACTTCCTCAATGTCATCATTATATATCTCATCATTTGCTATTGTCTCAGATTCAGCTTGGTCACTTGAGTCATTCACATGAGCATATGCTAAGGCCTTTTCTTGCTCCATAAGTTTTTTCATCTCCCTCTCTCTCAACAATGATGCCTTGGAAGGGCGACCTCTCTTTCGTTTCACTGGAATAGGGCTTGTGCCAACTGGAAAAGTGTCTTGAGAATTGGAGGACTTGTTGTGATCAACTGAGCTAAATAATGTTAAGGAAGTTTCATGGTCCACAGGATGACCCAGCAAAACAGTGCATGATGTATCAACATCATTGCCGTTGCTTGCATCAGAACCTGAGCTACGAACTTTACTTGGCTTTCGAGACTTATGTCTGATAGTAATACCGTGTTTATCAATATTAGCAGTTTCAGGAGAGATAGAATCCCCTACATTGTTTTGAGAAGTATTCTTGCTAGTCTCACAGTCTCCGTTTTCAGTATCATCAACTTTCACAACCTCCCACACAGAATTGTCACTCTTTGCATCATCCATTAGACTGCATGAAACAAAGGCATTGCTACCTTCAGAATCTCTTGGAAAAGAATGTACTTGAGAACTTTTAGAGGCTAGATTTGCAGACTGTCTCGGCTTGCTGCTCTTAGAAATTCCAGGTCCACCATTGAAAGTCCTTTCCACTTCACAAAAGGCTTCATCCTGCAAGGAAAAAAATCAAAACCGAAAACAGGTTTAGAGAACCATGCTGTCACATTTGGCTGGTGGAATAAACTGTCAATGATGAAAAATTTAACTCACTTGATAAGATTGTGACCAAGTTTTCATCACTTGGTCCCTCTCCAAACAAAGTTGTTTAAAGCTGACCCATGTTTCCAATCTGAAGAGGCACTGGTAACATATTTGGCTTGGCAATCTATCTGATTGCGATATCTGAAAGAAAGGACGCATGCTGAATCAACATTTGAAATGCCTATTACAAATATTTATCCTCTGGAAAGGCTCAAGAATGAAAGAAAATGAGGGACCTCAGATGATGATAGTGCAGAGAATATTCAGATAGAGATTCAGGAGGATAGCGGCAAAGGAGAACGGTGGGCAGATTTGAGATTTTATATTTTGTTAAAAGAACAGACTTAAAGAGGTTGTGACCTAAAATCATTAGCATAATGGTTCAAGATGTCTACGTTCTATGGAATTTCTTTAACTACAACGCAGCATAAGTGAACTAAATTTAACAATGTGTGAAGCAGTCTCTTGGTTACACGACAACCACCGATCTACATCTCCGCTTTGTAAATTATAAACAAAGTGGCGCAATGAGAAATTTCATTCTTATACTTTTTAAGAACACAACGAACATAGGTATTTAAAATAGAAGACATCTTGAAGTAGATTATAAAAAACAACCAAACTCTTTCTATATTCTTTTGCATTTTGCTGCTGCCACCCTATGAAGTTGCAGATACATGCCCTCCTTTTTACTTAAACATTTTTCTGGTACATAAAACTGTACTCAATAAGTTTCACAATGTATTTTGAATTAGCTAAAGGAGGAAATAAGTATACCCTAACTCAATTTTAGATGAAATAAATCAAATTGTAATGAGTGCAATGTGACTCCCCCTAACCTTAAGAAGTTATTTTATTTATAATAATGAATGAGCAGAAAACTCAAAATTTATTTTATTCAAAACATATTATTTATAACGGAATTTAACACGTACCTTCAATGAAAGATGCTTGTTGATTTTAGATTTCAGCCTTATTCTTCTGCCCTCCTCACTGAATATGTCTATGCTCAGCCGTTTGGGCTCAATACACAAACGACACCTTTCGCTAAAATCCATTAAGCTATCAGCCATTTCGACCACGGATAAGAGGAAAACCAGCTACGATTGAGACTAGAGGATAGAATCAATTGCCATTTGACAAAATATCAAGAACACCTGAATCTTCGCAGCGTCCAATTTTGTGCCTGAGGGCTCTGAGGGGACAGAGCACGAGCGCTGCTCAGGTGAGGGGAAAGGGGCACGGGGAGGGGGGTTGGGTTGAGTGAGTGCTTGGCGCTCTGCCTTTGCCACTTTGATTTGCGTTGCATTTGCATCCAAGTGCTGTTCTGCATTACACTTTCGTACATCAACAAATATTGTTGGGGTAGGTCGTTGGATGGTAAATGGAAATGGAATACAGAGAGATCATGGAAATCGTATTCGGGATGAGTGCTAGCGCCTAGCCGCACAGCAGTGCGAGGTGTGCCAGGCAGTGCCGGGAGGAGCGGGTTCTTTTCAGTACTTGGTGGTGGCAACAAACGTCCAACTCTACACTTTCATTTCCAACAAGACGCAAGCACTGTGCGGGTCCAGATGTCAAAATATTGATGAGGACATGGAATAAGGAAGTTGCAGAAACATGGTGTGCTCAGGATAGTTATTGCTTGGCTGAATACACAGATGAATATGGACATTTGTGCAATTTACACACTTCAGACTTGGTAAAAAATTGTTTTAAATTTAAAAAAAAAATGTCAATTAGAAATAATTTGACGGGCTAATAACATGAAAATAAGGGCAATGTAAGTGAACTCAATTAGACTGGTCAATATATTCAACAATTTATTAATATAAACAGAACATCATTAGTTCAATCTGAACACTCGCATAAAAATACTCAAGTTCAGAAATGAAATGAAACTCCAAAAAACAGGAAAACACACTATTTCTTACAAAATAAATCAGTAAACCATGGCTATGGTATTTCAGGTTATAAGTGAAAGCACTATACAAACAAGAGTAAAATTGCTGAAGAACTCATTCTGAAGCCACGTCCACCCTTATATGTGTAGAAATGCAAATTTGACAAGTAGCAATTTTAAGAACTACCTCAATTGATTCAACTTATATAATAACAATGCCAAGGAAGGTTCTGCCAGGCACTTCCTTTGAACAAATTATATTGTTAATAACATTTGTGGCTTTAAAATGGAATTTCTGTCAAAAATCATAAAAACAAGAAGAAAAATGAAAAACAGTAGGTACAATAATAACTAAGAATGTAAACCAGTCTTGTTATTCATTTATTGGCAATAGCTGTACCTTAATCACAGCTTCAGTAAGTATCCATACTAATTGAGCCGCATATTTTGAATGCCTTTCTCAAGAAGCTGGAAAAGACAAACACAAATTAAATTATAACTCCACTTCTTTAGTCCAATGAATTCTTGATAAAATTACTCACATTCATGTCCCAAATGACAAGTTGCCCATCCACACCAGTGGTGCTGAACTTGTTAACTGCACCTTTGGAGCCAGAGTACAGAACCAAACATGTGATAGCATTTTGATGCACTGTTTCCAAGGCAGTGTCATTTTCAATGCGAGCTTGACGGTCCAAACTCTGGAATTTGGCCATAGCACTTAACAGGGACAATAAAAAGTTTCATTATTACTATGATGAAATATAAATAAAATAACATAAAGAAAAGAAAAAACACTGCCAGCAAAAGAGTAAATAACTAATAAAAATATAAGAACCTTAGACCAGCAGCTTCTTTCCTCTGAGAAGTGTCCAACTTGCAAGTGTAAGATAGCTGACCCGATTGGTCATAAGTGTACAAGAGAGGACAACAGTTATGACCCTGTGAATCATGTAAAAACATGCGTATGAAATAAAGATGCATTTAAAGGAAATTTGCATTACCATGTTAGCACCTTCAATACTCACGGCCACAACAATACTGTTCGGTCCCACCCAAGTGCATGTGTTAAAGGGTAGGAACTCAGTCCGCAGTTTAACTACAGCCATTGCACGACTTGCATCAGCTACAGAAATGGAAGAATCATGGCCAACCCAACAAATGCGGTTGCCGTCACCTGAGAAGCTAACTCCATGTATCCAACCACCTGACAAAGAGAAAATAACAATTTGGTATCAATTTAAACAATAAAATAAAGTTGTTTCTTTATGAAGAACTAAAAAAAGAGCACTGAAATGAATAAAAAGTTACATGGCCTACCTCCTGATGGTGAATTTGTGAACTCCGCTAAAAGTGTTCCCAGGCTTCCAGGGTTGCCCCCCTTCTTGCACCAAGGATTGCCATCATCATTTGGTTCTTCCAACAATTTAATGTAAGCAGAAAATACTCTAACTCGGAAATCTGTCAGTCCAGCTACCAGCACCAAATTGTTGGGATGCCAATCCAATGAAGTAACAGTTGATCTTATGGGCTTCTTAATATGTTTTGACACCCACCAGTCATTCTCCTTCTCAAAATAGCAGACTGAAATGAGTCGTGCACCAGAACCAACAGCAAACTTGTTTTCTGAAATAAGAAATAGATAAAAATCATGTGAAGATTGAGTTTTACACGAAACGCAAGATAGCCAAAGATACTCACCAAATGGAGACCATTTCACACAAGTGGCAGCTCGATTGATACGAAGTAAAACCAATGTTGGCTTCCAGTTACCATCAGGTCCTTGACTCCACACATATGCATTCCGATCCTGAGGGGAGATAAAATTATCAACTAGTTAAGCCTTAACAAATTAATTCAGTTGAAATTCTAAAGAACTGTAGCAAAAATAACTTACCGCAGCGCAAGTTACAATTCGGTTGGTGTTGGGAGCCCAATCAATTCCTGTCACTCGAAGATCATGTTGGTTGAGAACATTGATTAGTCTCCATTCATTAACTTCTCGCTTATAGATGTGCACTTCGTGATTGTTTGGGGAAAGTGCTACTTGAGAGCGATCTTTATTCCAAGCATGACAAGTTATTGGGTAGACTCCAAAGCTGAATCTTTCAGTCATTTTTCAACGAAATGAAAGGCAAAGCTGCACAAGAATAGAAAAAAATTAAGATGGTAAAAAGAAAGGCAACATGGGTTTTATTTTAAAGATATAACAATATTTAATGGGTATGGATAGAATAGGAGACGACAATGTGCCTGTCAGAAAATAGAAGTGTTGGATAATGATAACATAACCTCATAGGCAACTTTCTAAGAACATGGAGAGAAGTATTAGTGAAAGTTGAAAGCAACAGTACAACTCTTACAGTAGAAACTGTGCATGATATATGCTATGAATTCGTAAAAATATGTAAACTTTCAGTTAAATTGGCGCATGATTCACCCCTGACGGAAACGCCCCACGACAGAAGATAAGTTTATTTCCAAATTACCAAAAGCAAGCGAAAATGTTAGAGCACGCCAAAATAAGACTCACTTCATAAAAAGTGATCAGGAATTCGCGGACTCTGGTCCGTCTACACGAATTCCTGTAAATCACTGAAAATTTATGTTGATTTGACCGACTGACAGCCGGGAGGGAGGCAACGAACGATCTCTCGTGCGGAGACGATGAGTCGTAAGCGAATTCAATACTCTCGACACCTTTCGAGTAGAGGGCTGAATCGATCATTTCAAACGAGAGAACGCCGGACGCGGGAAAAATCTTCGTCAAATTGGTGTTGTGCCGTTAAAAGAATCTCACTTGGGGCGTTCGGGGTTTATTGTTCCAGAGGTTTGTTTCATAAGATTGTCATGTTTCTGTAAATGAAGATGCAGACACGTTCTTAAAATTCTCATTTTTGATTTCACGAATAAAATTTTATGCATGGTTGTGATACGTTGGTGTTTTAATAAAATAAAATGCCATTCAATCTACTGAACCGTTGCTTTGTTTGTTTGTTTGTAAAAAACTGTCCGTATTTGAGTTAATGCTTACCTTTACGTTTGAAGTGTTTTACGTGGCCTGTCTAATACCGTGGTGACTTTTCAATAAAATCATGTAATCAACTCTTGTCACTTTTGGTATTATTCTTGGGTACATAACCAATAACTTGATCCAAAATGATAAGTTTTTCTCTTATATGTGGTTCCCCTGTGTTTCCTTAGCTTTTCTTAGCTGTTCAGTTCTCTTAAGCGTCCAAACCATTCGCGTGAAGGCCCTATATCCTAAGACTGTTCCACTGGTACTCATGATCAATCATTGTATATTTATTTCATGAGCTTCAGAAATCAGTCTAAAAGCTTTCGCCCCGCCCAAACACTTTGTGTTAGTACATGTTTATTTATTTTACTTTTCAGTTTCCCTGCCATGGCAACTCCCCTATTCGTCTTCCCTTTGCATAGGGAGGACCTACTATCGTCCGAAACTCCTGGACAATATTATGTAAGGGAACTTGTTGATTGTGATCTCGTTCCGAGGAGACTTGCAGGTAAATGAAGTGATTCGATTCGCCCCTCTGAAATTTTCTTTTCCAATTGTTATTTATGTATTTACCATTAATGGTCTTTATCCCTTACCAGATTGCAATGCTGCATTTTCCGATGATGGCTTTCTTTTTATATTAAATCACTTTGATGCATTGTTTTCTGCTGTGCACCAGTCTAGAGATCTGGATACTAGACATCTTATCATGTCACACAATATAGTTCTTAAAGGTTGTTTCATCATTCCAGTTTGCTTTTCTTTGTGTTTATTATTTACGTTCTCTTTGTTATTCCTTTTCTGTTGCTGGATCTCTTAAATTTTGACCTCTTTCTACTGCAGGGATGTCAGGAATGAGTGTGTCACTCCCCAGAATGCTTGAAAATATGGATGGGCATCTACGTGTTAAGTTATTGAATGCAGCCAAGATGTACCTGTATCTGTTATACGAAAACCTTCGATCCCTGGAAGAGAGATTTGATGCAAAAACTGACAGTAAATTAGCAGTGGATGCCAAGGTACTTTATTTAACAAATGTTTGACCACTTGTAATTTTTTTCAAACCAAAGATTACCATTGAATTATGTACATGCATGCCATTTTCAATTTCTCAAAGGCCACCTTGTGTGTTATAAACCTCAATGTGCATTGAATGATAATAATAAATTACCAATATATTTTTCTTATTCCTTATGGATTTAGAGTCGTAAGAAAGCTATGAAAAGTTTTGTTGATTTCGATTGGGATGAAAAGAGAAATGTTTCTCTTTTAAAACTGCATGAATTTATTCATCAACCCTTGGCCAAGTTGTGGGATCCACCTATGGCAGATGAAGATTTTGTAAGGTAAGTGTGTTGAAATTCATACATTTCAAAACGAATGTGTCTTGTTTCATAATGTACCATTGTTTGAATCCTTTTCAGCACTGCTGCTAATTGTTGTTACAAAACCTTAGAAGACCCTCAAGTTTCCCAAGTACGATTGTCACACCTTAAACATTCCATTTTTGATATACTTGGAGTATTAATTCAAAAATATGGCCATGGGCTGAGCTGTACAGTAAAGATGGTTCAGGTAAATCTTTGTCGCCATTGTTACTGGAAAGAAACTGAGTACACCTCGATTATTTCTCTTTGTAACTTGTGTGATTTTACTTTCAGCTCATGAAATTGTATGAACATTTACCAGAAACTCTGGCTCAGGGAGCAGTCAAGTTTGTCACCGAATATCACAGCCGGAACTTTGTGCGTGAAATGATTCGAGAAATCACTGAAGAAGCAGCTGCGTGTGAAAACAGTTGCATCAAAGCATGCTCACATTTTTTAGTTGAAGTTGCTAAAGAAGGTCCAGAAGTCATGTTGCCTTCTGTGCACATGCTTCTTCCTGAACTAGAAAACGATGTGAGTAAAAGTTGAAGTATTACTGTACTAGTGCGGTATTGATCATTTTTTAATCAGCTCTCTTTTTTTTTTTTAGTCATACATGATGAGAAATTGTGTGCTTGGAGTTTTGGGAGAGATTGTGTCTGCAACTTTAGCTAGAGAACATCTTTCTGAAGAACTGAAAGAGACTCGCAACATTTTCTTTGAGCATCTTGAGGACCACCTCCTGGACACCAATGGTTCTGTTCGTGGCAAGGTAATAACATAAATAATAAACTTTTCTTTTTTGTGGTGAAATACTTTTGTTGCTTTACAATATTCTTTCTATTTTTTATTTTGATTGGAAGGTGTTAAAAATCTGGCAAAGGCTATGTCAAGAGAAGGCAATTCCCCTTGCTCGCCTTAGCCAGCTTTTAGAGCAAGTAGTTGATAGACTACTGGATAACAGTTGGACTGTTACTCGTAATGCCATACAACTTTATCATTCTCTTTTGCAAAGTAATCCTTTTGGTGACAAGGTACAGTAACTTTTCTCCCCCATGGCTTATTAGAGGTGACTCACGCAAGTTGATATTTTATCTAATTCTAATTGTTTACTCTCCAGTTGGAAATTGAAAAGTTAAAAGAGAATTTCAATCAGGAAGAGGAACTATTAGTTGTGCTAGAGAAAGAAGTAAACTTGAAAATACCACCATCTCGTGCTAAGCTGTGGCAAGAAATTTCACCAAAAATTGTAGTTATTTTGCAAGAAGCTCTATCAAGTGGTGAAGATGAAACAGTTCCTGAAGAATATCTGAACAATTCAATGGGTGATAATATTTCAGAAATCTATCGTTTTTTGGAAAGGGAAAGATATGTTGAAGCAATCCACTTACTCAGGTTTACAGAAAAACAATCTGAGGCCAGTACTCCAAGGTGTGTATACTGTAAAAGATTAGATTGAAACTGAACCTCTTATTTCTGTTTCTAGACACTTCACAACTTTTAAAATTTATTAATTTGCTCATGTATTTTTTGCCTAGAGCCAACAAAGAGTTGGATTGGCAGGTGGATTATTTTCATAATCTCTTGCGTAAGATTTTTGTCAACTTTGATGAAGAAGGCAATAAACGAGAAGAAAGACAGGACCTTACTCCAGAGCATAAAGAAGCTTTAGAAAAGTTACAAAAACAGCGTACTTTGACCCAATATTTAAAGGTTACTTTCATTCCTGTCTGTCACATAAATGTTTTTCTGCACAGAAGCCATGTTCATTATCGTTTGGTCTTTCTTTTTCTTCTCTCAGGATTGCATCGTATTTGCAGAGCAGCTTGAGACTGCAACAAGTATTATAAACAACTTGCTTTCTTGTGCTCAACCAACTGTCATGTTGGATGCAATAGAATTTTTAACTGCTGCATATCAGTTTGGACTAAAGGGTGCTCTGACAGGAGTTCAAAATATGCTTATGTTAGTTTGGTCATCAGAAAGTTCAGTTAAAGAGGGTGTTGCCACTGCTTATAGAAACATTTACATTGAAATTGCAAGTCATGCTCCTGGGTAAGTTACATAGCTGAAATATGCATTCATAAAAACTGAAACCTTATATAATAAGTAATCTAATAAGAACTTTTAAATTAAAAATTGGAAATCATAAACGCATTTCTTTTTTTGTTTAGACGAAGCCGAGCTGGTGAGATAGTACGAAATCTGTCCCATCTTTTGAAAACTTTAAATGTGAATCAACAAGCAGCTTTGGAGGTACTGGTGCACGAGTGGGTGAAAAATGGTGATATGGATAAAGAGTGTATTCAAATTATGTGGGAGAGATTCTCCATGAAACTTCCTGACACAACTGAGGATGACAGCAGAGCTGCTCTTATTCTCCTGGGTATGGTCGGAGGAGCATCTCATTCCGTATTGAAGAACAATATTCCAGTGTTAATATCTGTAGGTTTTGGTGAAAGAGGACGCAAAGATTACAGACTGGTGAAGGAGACCTGCCGTACTTTGTTGAAATTGGTCCCAGAAACAACATTGGCATCTTCAAACGAAGAGGCTTTTGCACTTAGTGAAGATCATGAGATGTTTCAAGACTTGTGCTCTATTTTAACAAATGGATATAATGTACTTGATGAACAAGATTATACCTCAATGGCCATTGAGGCATTTGAAGTGATTTATCAACTTTCTGAACACCCAGACAAGACATGTGGTGCTCTTTTAAGTACCTTTTCTGATCTTACGAAGAAATCTGCATCAGGAAATTTTGATGACTTGCTAAACCCTTCAGGTCCAGACAAGACAAAGGCCCCAGGAAATATACCCTTTCTTTTGTTGGAGCGACTTGTAGCTGTAATTGGCCATGTAGCCTTCAGACAGTGGATACACCTAGATAGGAAAGTTTTCAGAGAGCTGAAGAGAAGAAACAAAATACGGGAAGCTGAAGCAGAAAAGAAAAGAGATGATTCCCAGAAGAATAAAAATAAAGATAAGAACAAAGAAAAGCGTAAAAGTCAAGCAAATCTGAATTCATCCATCTTGAGCCGTGCCTCAGAAACTCCTCGCTTGAAAAGGGACAAAGATGATTCAGCAGATGCCGAGATAGGAGAGATCAATGCTGATGATGCTGAAGCTGACTACATCAACCATGTTTGTGAGTCAGAAGTTGTAACTAGTGAAACTATGCTGGCGAAGTTGAGTCCTCTTGTGGTTTCCATATGCACCAATCCTCAAAAATACTCTGATGAAAGGCTTCAGAGCACTGCCAGCTCTTCATTGACAAAATTAATGCTTGTTTCTTCAGCATTTTGTGAAGAACATCTACCTCTTGTATTTACTATGATGGAAAAGTCACATGAGGCACAAATACGATCAAATCTTGTTTATGCTGTCGGAGACTTTGCCAACAGATTTCCAAATCTTATAGAGCCATGGACCAAGCACCTTTATGCAAGGTAAGAGCTAAAACGACATAATGTATTTAAAATTTTCTGTTTTACGTGCTTTATTTTATTTCTTAAATTCTGTATGACAATAATTGTATTTTCAAATCCAAAAGGCTTCAAGACAAATCTCATAGTGTCCGCCTTGATACTATTATGGTTCTTAGACACCTTATAACCAATGAGATGGTTAAAGTTCGTGGCCAAATTTCAGACATGGCACTCTGCATTGTTGACTCAGAGGAGAGAATTTCTGGTATGCTTGGTTTATTTCATGCTAAACTTGTCTTGATAATTTGTTGGAAGATATGGAATTTTATCTTGAATGTTTTTCAGTGATGGCTTCAGAGTTCTTCAGGGATCTCTCCAAAAAGGGAAACACCCTTTACAATGTTATGCCAGATATTATATCTAGGTTGTCTAATCCAAGCATGAATGTTTCTGAAGACCATTTCCATGTAATATTAGAGTAAGTCTAATAGTCTTCTTCATTGATGAGCACCAATATTTGCATTTGACTAAAATAATGTGTAACTTTTCCGGTAACAGGTTTTTACTTCCTCTTATTAATAAAGATAAACAGATGGAGAGCTTGGTTGATAAGCTTTGCCAACGCTTTAGAGCCTCTACCACTGAAAGGCAATGGAGTGATATAGCTTTCTGCTTATCCTTGATTCAGTATTCGGACCGAAGCTTACGGCGCTTGACTGAAAATTTCCAATGCTACTTTGACAAATTAAGTACTAATAAGGTGTACGAAGCTTTCGAATCCATTATTGCTCAAGCTCTGAAAACAAACAAGCCGGAGAGAAAGGTAAAATTACTCATCAAATTTTTTTTCTCCATCTTATTCTTTAAGTGTAATTTCTAGTTGTCCTCTGATAACGTCTTCTTCTTTTTTCTTTCTGCTTTATTTGTGCAGATTATTGTTGAAGAACTGCAAACAAAGATAGATGAGATCATGAAGAAGGGATTAGGCTTGGAGGAAGCTAGGGCAGGTCATTCTGAGGATGCTGGTGAGGGTACTGAAGATGGTGATGGAAGCAATCAGAAAGAGAACAGATTAACTATGAAGAGAAAGGAGAAAAGGGGGAGTGATGTTGGTAAGAAAACTGAAACTTGGAAAACTGAAAGTCAGCATCCTGCAATTTTATTTTTGACAAATTTATTTGCTTTGTGGTTGTAGGAAAGAGAATGCAAGCTGCACAGAGGAGAGGCAGGAGGAAACCTGTGGAAGACTCATCAGAAGAGGACGAAGAAGACGCTGATAGTGAGCAAGGTATGAAGTACATACATTCATCATGAGAGCATCTGTTCATTGACAGAACATTTTAATGTCTTTTCCCCTCTTTTCTAAGCAGATGTGGCTCCTCAAACGCAGTTAAAAGCGAGGCATTCGAACCGAAGGCGAAGGAGATAAACAAGTCATCATTACCTGATAGTTGATATGTGGTAGGAAAAGTATAAGGAAAATTCCTTTCATTTGAACTTGCTCTCTGTTTTCACTCTCATATCAAAATATAGGTCTGATATGAATTTTAACACTTCCATGACACTTCTTATTAGGGAATCTCATTGTGGCTTGTAGAAATTCCTTAAGCAACCTATGTAACCAATTTTTTTTTAAATATATATTATTGGTTTCTGATTGTTTTTCTACTTAATAAACGTTTCTGTCATGTCTTGCTTATCCATCTATTCATGTAGCTAGGACTATTTATGTTATTTTTCATTATTTACATGTTTTTTCTTTCAAATTTGCTCCTTTTAATATTCAATAAAAATGATTTATTTATGATAAATATCAGCCTTTCCCCATTTTAGATACACAATGCCGAAGAGACGGTGGCAGAATCATGTAAATTCTAACAAAAGTTTTTGTCATTTTCTCGCTGTAATTGGGAAAACTTTCCATATAGATCCTAGATCTTGGGAGTAAAGGGAAAGTACCTGCATACACACAACAAATGAAAAGTTCAAAATCTTCTCCTGTAAGCTGGTATTTAGAATCCCAAATGGAAGACATGATTTTCAGTAATTTACTTCCACAACATTATTTCTGTTTGCTTCTAGTATCAGTAAACCCTGTCGAAGAACAGAACAACTCATGTATATCAGTCGCAAAAAATTCTAAGTGCTCATTTATCGCTGCCTTCAAACAGAAAATAAACTAGCAGAGCAAGGTTTCGATCCTCGGACCTCTGGGTTATGGGCCCAGCACGCTTCCACTGCGCCACTCTGCTTCATGGCCCGCGGGGTGGTTAATTTTGAATTAACCTTTCAAGTTGCACACCAAGAGAAGGCGGTGAATTCCTTTGGTGTGCATTCTCTGCCGGTGACATAACTAGTGTTTCGTTGGCGATGAAAAACATGTCTTCTTGTTTTCATTAGTCCGTCTCATTCATCAATTTGCCGTTAAAGATCAGTGGATTAGTAAAAAAGATGGAAATGTTGCTCATTTAGCCAAAAATGCAAAGAAGCTCCAAGACTAAAGAGATGTTTATTGTGCGTGCCTTGGAGAAGATCCTCAGCGACAAAGATATCAAACGGTCGTACCATTCTCAACTAAAACGATCTTGCGAAGTAGCATTAGGTGAGGCGAACATCCTTGTCTTGCTATTTCCAAATGAATGTGGCAAACGTGTGATAAACTAACCTGCTGTCTTTCCCTGGTACATTGACTAGATAGCTTTTGTAGAAGTAAGGTTATGGTCCACATATGATCTGCACCTGTCGTTACATGTCACCTGTAACGATTTGTTCCATTCAGCTGACGTTATCGATGTCTTTTAACTGCTACTGAAAAGTTGATCTTTTTCGTCATTTTCTATGTTCAGCACATCTCTCCTTTTCTTCTTCACATCTACATCTTGTGCCCTTCTAATTTCTAACCTCACTTAATTTGACACTGCTAGCTGTCATTGCATCACTGACATAGTTTCTAGTGTGAAAAAGTGAGATCAGAAGGGAAATCCCCCTATGTACCCCGATCTCCTAGGGAATATTCGATCAGCTTGCCAACTGTTCTATTTATGTATTGTGTTTTATCTCCAAATTCCAGAGGAAATTAAAAATGAACTGAAAGATGCTGATTCTGAGGCAGGAAACTCCTCCTCTGCCCTTCCATTACCGAAAGAAGATGCAGCCAACAATGTTTCTGCTGAAAAGTATTTTTTGCCTTTCGAATTGGCATGTCAAAGCAAGTCCTCACGCATTGTTGTGACTGCTCTAGATTGTCTCCAGGTATGTTCAATGAGTTAAATTCATTGGAAAGTCTTTACGACTATCTCTTTGTGTTATTACTGTCAATTCTGTTCAAGTTTCATTCAAGGTACAATGTTTAAATTTTTTATGCTCTTATTTTTACAGAAATTAATTGCATATGGCCACTTGACTGGGAATATACCTGATTCAACAACGCCTGGTAAACAATTGATAGATCGCATAGTTGAGACAATTTGTGGATGCTTTAGTGGTCCACAAACTGATGAAGGCGTCCAGCTTCAAATCATCAAGGCAAGTTATCTCTTTTCTTTTGGAAAAGTACAAAATTATTTTACCTTCCCATGTATTTTCTCTCTTTTTAATTTGAGAGTTTTTATGTTCTGAAGGCTCTTCTGACAGTTGTAACCAGTCAACATGTTGAAGTCCATGAAGGAACTATTTTGCTGGCAGTGCGCACCTGTTACAACATCTATTTGGCCAGCAAGAATCTTGTCAATCAAACTACAGCACGAGCCACCCTGACTCAGATGCTGAACGTCATATTTGGTCGCATGGAAAGTCAAGCTGTAAGTTCCTACCAAAGAATCAGATTTATTTATGAGCCCCTTACGCTCATTATTTCAAAGCCACTTTATTAATTTCAGGAGGTCGATGAATTTGAAAAGTTGAAAGAAACATCTGACCATGCTGATGAGCGTCCTCAGGCTGAAGGCAGTAGCAAAGTTCAGGAAGCAGAACCTACAACTCAAGCAACACCTTGTAGTCCCATGGAAACCACGCCTGCTTCCTTCCCAGCATCTGAGTGTACAGTGGAAAAAACTGATGCTTCCACAAATGGTGGAACAAGCACTGCTGTAGTAAATGCTTCAACTGTCCTGGATGACAGACCAGAAACCATTGGTGAAAGCTCTCCATCTCAGTTAAGCAGTGATACAGCAGGAGGAGAAAACAGGGAATCTGCCTCAGGTGTTATTGAAGAACGAACTCCTGGCGATGGTGAAGGCAGAGAGACTAACCAAGAGATGGTCATTGGAATCCTTAATGCTATAGTAGACTCAGTTGTTCAAGGTATGCTGGTTTCATTATGTTTCACAGACTTTTTTTCTTCTTTTTTTTTTTTTTGTGAACATTTTGAACATTATGGCATTTTTACCCTTTTCTAGGCTGTGAATCTAATGGTTTTCCTCCTGGAACATCGAATGGGACTCCTGAGGATTCAACAAGTTCAGAACCAGTGGAAATACCCATAACTCCATCTGATCAAGAGATCAATAATGTTGATCCTACTCCCTCAATTCCTTCTGGGGCTGCTAGTCCTATGGCTATTGTTCCGCAATCAAACAGTCTGCCTAGAGTTCCTTCTCAGGTAAATATCTTACACATTTCTTGTGAGAAAGCTTACCCAGCCCTTCATTCCATCCTCAGGTTTCCTTTTATTCCATAAATATGCTGGCTGATTGGAAGTGTGATACAATCTATTTCAGGATAGTGTTGATGCGAGCAATGAGAGTGATGCTGTGACAGCTACACCAAAATTTACTCATGTGAGACAAAAGGATGCATTTCTTGTTTTCCGCTCTTTATGCAAGCTATCAATGAAACCTGTTCCTGAGCAGCCTGACCCAAAGTAAGTCATGACTCCTAAGGTGGTGTGTGTTGTGTGTGGTTAATCAAAATCTAGTTCACGTGTAATTAAATATTTTTCCCCTTTTCAGATCTCATGAGTTAAGATCAAAGATCTTATCCTTGCACTTACTTTTGTCAATTCTTCAAAATGCTGGCCCAGTTTTCCGAGCCAATGAGATGTTTATCACAGCAATCAAACAGTATCTCTGTGTTGCTCTTTCAAAGAATGGGGTATCATCTGTTCCAGAAGTATTTGAGCTTTCTCTTGCTATTTTTCTTGCTCTTCTTTCGAAGTTTAAGCAGCACCTCAAGATGCAAATTGAAGTTTTCTTCAAGGAAATTTTTCTCAATATTCTGGAGACATCCAGCTCATCATTTGAACACAAGTGGATGGTTATTCAGGCTCTGACAAGAATATGTGATGATGCACAAAGTGTTGTTGACATTTATGTCAACTATGACTGTGATCTATCTGCTGCTAATTTGTTTGAAAGGCTAGTGAATGATTTATCCAAAATAGCTCAGGGGCGTCAAGCTCTTGAGCTTGGAGCAACACCAAACCAGGAAAAGTCTATGCGAATCCGTGGCCTGAAGTGCCTTGTATCCATCCTTAAATGTTGTGTGGAGTGGAGTAAAGACCTGTATGTGAACCCAAACTCTCAAACTTCTTTGGGTGAACGTAAGGACCCTGAAATTGAGCCAACTCCATCAACGCAGGGTGGTGGTAATATCAAATCAATCCACGGAGGTAGCAGTAATAGTATAAATTCTGCTACTTCTAGTGTCAGTATGAATGCTATCAACCGAGAAATTTTGGATACACCAGAACAGTTTGAAGTCCTAAAGCAGCAAAAGGAAGTGTGGGAAACGGGTATTCAAATATTCAACAGAAAGCCCAAGAAAGGGGTGCAATATTTGCAAGAGCAACATCTCTTAGGAACTACTCCATCTGAAGTGGCTGAATGGTTGCATTCTGATGAACGCCTAGATAAGACTGGTTTGGGAGACTATTTAGGAGATAATGACGACTTTGGCAAAGAGGTATGATCCTTGGGGCTAATGCAAAAAATCTATTTCTTGAAAAATAAAAAAAAACTTTGACTGTTCATTTGCTTTTCAGGTAATGTATGCCTATGTTGATCAAATGAATTTCAAGGACCGTGATCTTGTGGCAGCTCTACGCTTTTTCTTGGAAGGCTTTAGGCTTCCTGGAGAGGCCCAAAAGATTGACCGTCTAATGGAAAAATTTGCCAGTAGATACTGTGAATGCAATCCCAAGTAGGTTTATTTTGTTATTTTGGATTCTACCCTTTATTGTTCCCCAGTTTGCCACTGTTTGAAACACTTATTTTGTGTGTTTCAGCAACACATTATTTGCAAGTGCTGACACAGCATATGTGCTGGCATATTCAGTAATTATGCTCACAACTGATTTGCACTCTCCTCAAGTTAAAAGTAAAATGACCAAAGAACAATACATTCGCCTCAATCAAGGAATCAGCGATAGCAAAGACTTACCACAGGAGTATCTTTCTCAAATTTATGATGAAATTGCTGGTCATGAAATCAAAATGAAGGGAGCTTCAAGCAAACCAGGGAAACAAGGTAAATAACTCACCAATCTAGTTGTGCATGTATCTACAAAGATATTTCCATAATGGGTCCTTAATTACTGGCAAAATGGCTTCTCATTGACAGTAATTTCAAGTGAAAAGAAGCGTCGTTTCTTGTGGAACATGGAAATGGAAGTTATATCATCAGCTGCCAAAAATTTAATGGAGTCTGTTAGTCATGTACAAGCTCCTTTCACAACAGCAAAGCATCTAGAACATGTCCGTCCAATGTTTAAGGTAAGGTCTCCTTCTGCTTCCAAGGTCCCTGTTCTTGAAAACCAGTAATAATAATATATTTTGTTATGTATTTGCATAGATGGCATGGACACCTTTCCTTGCTGCATTCAGTGTTGGCCTACAAGATTGTGATGATCAAGAGATTGCATACTTGTGCTTAGACGGTATCCGATGTGCGATTCGCATTACCTGCATCTTCCATATGACGGTACTGTATTATAAAGTCTGTGTTTTATGTTGAAAATGTTGTCTTTGAGCTGCTTATATTGTATTCATTCCTTTTGAACGTTTCCAGCTGGAACGTGATGCATATGTTCAGGCCCTTGCAAGATTTACTCTTCTCACTGCTAACTCCCCTATCACTGAAATGAAGGCTAAGAACATTGATACTATTAAAACTCTCATAACAGTAGCTCATACAGATGGTGTGTAGTGAAAATTTATTTAAAAATTTCAATTTTTTAAAAAGAAAATTAAAAGTAGTTGTAATTTTTTATTATAACTCTCATGCCAGGTAATTACCTTGGGTCTTCATGGCTGGACATTGTCAAATGTATCAGTCAACTGGAACTTGCTCAATTGGTTGGAACTGGGGTGCGTCCCCAGTTCATTTCTAGCACCAAAAGCTATGATCATCACCATCCTGATCTATTGAGTAAACTAAATATGCTGGACCGTAAGTTGAAAGTTTCATTATGTGTGGTTTTAACACTTTCTGCGTGCACCAACTTTTTTGTTTTAATCTTCTAGCAAGTGTCAAAGAATCTATTGGAGAAACTTCATCTCAGAGTGTAGTTGTTGCAGTGGATAGGATATTTACTGGATCCACAAGACTAGATGGTGATGCTATTGTTGATTTTGTAAAAGCTCTTTGCCAGGTATTTGCTTGTCCATTTTTCCATGTTCCATCTCATTAATGTTTGATTTGGCTCTGGAATGCTTTTGATTGGTAAGTAATCCTTTTTTTCTTTTTCTTCTCAGGTATCGTTGGATGAGCTAGCTCACCCTCAACATCCTCGCATGTTTAGCTTGCAAAAAATTGTTGAAATTTCTTACTACAATATGGGCAGAATCCGTTTGCAGTGGTCTCGCATTTGGCAGGTATGTCTCTTTTGCTCCTGACCTGTCCAATTAATCATGATTTTGGGAAATAAATCTTTTTCATCTTTTATTGGGTTGATTTTAGGTCCTTGGAGAGCATTTCAACAAAGTTGGATGTAACCCAAGTGAAGATATTGCATTCTTTGCCGTGGATTCCCTTCGTCAATTATCAATGAAATTCATTGAGAAAGGAGAATTTGCAAATTTCAGATTTCAGAAAGATTTCCTTCGACCATTTGAACACATAATGAAGAAAAATAGGTATGTTGATCCTTCCAAGTTTCAAATGAGGAGTTATTAATGATAAAATTAATTGGTTCTTGCCATTATTTATAGATTGCCATCTATTCGAGACATGGTTGTTCGTTGTATAGCTCAGATGGTGAATTCACAAGCCCACAACATACGATCTGGGTGGAAAAACATTTTTAGTGTTTTCCATCTTGCTGCATCAGATAGTGATGAAGCTATTGTAGAGCTTGCATTCCTCACAACAGGAAAAATCATCAGTTAGTATTATTTCTTTGGTTTTCAAATTTATAACTACTTGTGCTATCCAAATTTTTTTTTTTTTTTTTCAAGGTCTTGTCTCAACTTTTCCTGTAACACTTATAAGTTTCATCTAACTATTTCAGATCAACTGTATGCCCAACATTTTCCAATAATGATTGATTCCTTCCAAGACGCTGTAAAATGTCTGTCTGAGTTTGCTTGCAATGCCAGCTTTCCTGATACTAGTATGGAAGCAATTAGACTGGTGCGAACTTGTGCTATATATGTAGATGAGAAACCTCAGGTAAAATTATATTCAATACGGTACTACAGTATCTTCAACTTTTTATTTTTAATAACGTTTTAATTTTTTTTTGTTATTATCTTCCAGTTGTTCTGTGAACATAGCATGGAAGACAACATGGTTCCAGAAGATGACAGAGTTTGGGTCAGGGGTTGGTTTCCACTTCTGTTTGAGCTGTCCTGTGTTGTGAGTCGCTGTAAATTGGATGTGCGAACTAGAGGACTAACTGTCTTGTTTGAGATTGTGAAAACTCATGGTGACGCATTCAAGCCTCATTGGTGGAAGGACCTTTTTCAAGTTCTTTTCCGCATATTTGACAATATGAAGCTTCCTGAACAACACACTGAGGTAACTAATTCATGAAATACCTACCTATTGTAGATACATTTTTGTGCATAATTTGAAGTTCAGCATCCAAAGTGTGCCAATAGTTCTCACCTGAGTGTTTCTTTGTGCTTCTGTTTTCCACTGAATGTTTAGATGCCCCTTTTAGTTTGAGCTTTGTCCAACCAGTATTAGTTAAATGTTTGTGCTGCAATGCCCTTAAAAAAAAAAAAAGAAGACTTTTAAAAAGTTTAACTTTACTTTTCCTTGTTAATACATTATTATTAAAACCTTGCAATGTGTAGAACTTTGATATTGGAGTAATGTTTGCTTAACTCTTTGTTTCTTGCTATATTCACAGCCCAGTGCAGAGCTAGCTGCCAATCTTGAGGTTAGTGCACTTATGTTTTTATCCCTGCTAATGTATGATTTGCTTATCCACCTCAACAGCAATGCTTTAGCTTTCATTCTGGTTGTCTTGCCTGTCTGTTTCAATAATGCTAAATAATTTTGGTCACCTAATTTTGTGAAAGTTACACATGTAAACACTGTTTCATTTGTAAATTTTTTTTCTTTTTGTGACTTATGTTAATTCTTATGTTGTAACTTGTAACAGAAAGCAGAGTGGATGACAACAACATGCAACCATGCATTGTATGCCATTGTGGATGTCTTCACACAATACTTTGACACTCTAGGTCCCTTACTTTTGGAAGACTTATACTCTCAACTGCATTGGTGTGTCCAACAAGGTACTGTATTCTTGTACCACAAACACATTTAATATTTTTTGTCTACCATAGAATTTTTTTTTAAAAATGGAAGTCTCTAGCTTTTTATCTGTCTCTGTCACAATTTTTTGGCTAACTTAATAGTTAAACTCTCTTGTACTTCCTTTGTCCACAGACAATGAACAGCTAGCTCGATCAGGAACAAACTGTCTTGAAAATTTAGTTATATCCAACGGTCTGAAGTTCAGTGTTGAAACATGGGATAAAACATGTCAGTGTATGGTAGATATATTTACCGCTACCATTCCCAATTCTCTCCTGACATGGAAACCACTTGAAGCCATTGGCAAGGAAAGTGATATGGACATAATAATGTCATCTAACGAAGTATCTCAGTTTGATGGTAATGTAAGTGTTGGCAAGCAGCCGGGAATACTGAAACGTTCTAACAGCAGTCACAGTGAAATCAGTGTTACCAGCACCTCCACAGATGAAACCAAACCAAACAAGGTATCTTGCTGCATATTCTCTTGGTGTAATGCTTGCGACTTCAATTTTCTAAAATATGGTTGTACTTTCACAGATGACTGCTCTGAATTTTGAAAACAAGCTCTTTTCTGGGCTTCTCATAAAATGCATAGTTCAGCTTGAATTGATTCAAACCATAGACAACATTGTATTCTATCCAGCAACTTCAAGAAAGGAGGATCAGGAAAACCTTGCTCTTGCACAGGTATTGAAAAATGTAATTTTCAATCTTAGTCTAAGGCACTTAGAGTTGCTTACAGCAGTTGCTGCATACTTGTTGCTTATTTCGATTGTAATCAATTGATCAATTTTTTACTTGCAGGCTGATTTGATTCATTCAGAAACTCCTCTGTCAAGTAATGTCATTTCTGAACAGACTGAAGAGCTGGGAATGTATTGCCATCTGAGTTCAAAGCATCTCTTTCTCCTTACTGACTGTTTGCTTCAGTCTCATCGTTTTGCAAAAGCTTTCAACTCTAATCATGAACAACGAAATTTGCTGTGGAAAGCAGGTATGTCTGTAGGAAATGGGTAGTTCCGTGCGTACCGTGCCTTTTCATGTCTGAGGGATGAAATAGCTTTATACTTACCAATTTTAGTCATTCCAAGGGCTTGACTTTGTTCAACTTAATCTGGGCATTGAGTGGTGTGTCTGTCACCCATTGGCTGCTAAAAAAACGTCCTCAGTGTATCAACAAGCTTAGTCATCGAGCTGTTATGTAAACTTCTGTTATACTTAAGGTGTAGCTTGCCCATACTCTTATTCGGGGGTCCTATAGTATGCATTTGAGTTGAAAAGACACTCAGGAAAATTAAGTTTTTCTGAGTTTTTCAGAATGAAAAAGGGTAGGCACGCACAGAACAACCCAAATAGCCATAGGCACTTTTTATCAATCTGTTCTTTTCTTGCCTGTATTCAAATTGAAAATTTTGACCCACAGGTTTCAAAGGGAGTGTAAAACCAAATTTGCTAAAGCAAGAGACTCAGTCCTTGGCTTGCGTCTTACGCATTCTCTTTAAGATGTATGCTGATGAGAACCGTCAGGAGGCCTGGCCACTTATTCAAGAAAGATTAATTGAAGTATGCAGGGAGGCTTTGGAGTACTTTCTATGTTTGCAGTCAGAATCTCACAGAGATGCTTGGACATGCTTGTTATTGCTTGTGTTGAACAGGATTTTCAAAATGAATGATGAAAGGGTAAGGTTATCAACTAACATCTACCTTAATAAGTTTTCTCTTCTTCTTCTTATAATCATTTTTTTTTTTTTTTAACTATTTGCTCCTGCAGTTTGCTGCTCATGCGTCAAGTTACTATCCCCTTCTGTGTGAGATTATGTGCTTTGATCTAAAGCCAGAGTTGCGGTCTGTCCTGCGCCGTTTCTTCCTTCGCATTGGACCAGTGTTCGGAATTACTAGTTCCACAGAAGCAATAAATTCCTCAAATGGTCAAATAAATACTACAGTGTGAAGGATAAACTTTTGTTTATATGATTACCTTGGCTGTTAATGTTGAAGAATATGAATGTGTTTATATTGTTATTGTTGCTATGAAGTTTTATAAATTAGGTCTGAGTCATATCTTTCCCCTCATAGTCACACACATAATACAACTTATAAAAGAACCTTAGTTGAGGGGTCCTTTTCACGACTTGTCTTGTATGTGATACGAATATATATGGTTTTTTCAATTCTGCAAAGTGAAGTCTAAATTGCAGTTGAACATTTGTAAGTTTTATGCATCTAAATCAGTTTAACTTTTTTAGGATGAAGTGCAGTCATCTTGTATAATTATTTATGTGGGATCCATTACTATGAGGAGACTTTATGATGATACTACTGTTGACAGGGTCCAGCATAAGGCATTTTAAAGTTATGATGGATATTTCTGTTTCTATGTTGTTGTATTCTTTTCCTTTTCTTTTGTCTTAGTGAGAATTTGTTAAAACAATTGTAAATGATGTCTATTTGGAATATTGCCTTTGTGAATAGATGTGAAAAAATGAGCTGCAATATTTATATTTTTACCTATATTATGTGAATGTCAATAATCTGATTGCCATTTTGAAATGTTCACAATTGTCCACTGTTTCTACAATGAGGTCGCTTTGTTTGTCGTGTTAAGCTGAGACTTAAAAGCTGATGTCCCTTTTTTTCAGTGACACGTGGAGCGCCTTTCTGCACTTAGTTCTCAATTTGACTCTTTTGTTAAAACTTACTTATAATGTGCCTATGGCACTTCTATTTTAATGACCTAAATTTTCTTATTGTATGTTCAAACACCTCAAAAAGAAATGGAAGAGTGTTCTGAATGATGATGGTGGTTGAAGTTTCTCATTAATCATGAAATGACTGAAATGGTATGGCCTCTTGGATATAATGTCATCTTTTGTTTTCGTCCAATATATATGGATAATCTGTTAACACAAGTCATCAAAGTTGCCATTTTCATTTTATTTTATGTCTATTATGTTATTGACAAATAAAGTTTACTACAGGCGAATAACGCCTTCTTTCAACTGGATTGGTTTAAAGTCTATTATATCTTTGCTTGTGAACCTATTACTTGTGATATTGTTGCTGTCCAGCTTTACTGGCTAAGGATCAGATATATTATTCATTAAGAAAAGAAACAAAGACAAGATACGAGCTTTGCTGAGTGATAGTCATTCACATCAAGTTAAGTGCTTATCGCCCTGTGAAACGTGTTTGTCTCCAATTTATCTATTATCTGATTCCGTTTTATCCTGCTTTTTTGAAGCAATTTAATCAATGTAATTCCCATTCAACAATTGTTAGAAATTACATTGATAAGAAAATGCTCCTCAACTGAAGACTTCTCTTTGTTTTTGTAGAAAAAGTATTTGTGTAAAAGCTTTTGAATTCAACTTTATTAAGGCCTCTTGTTCCTTCTCTCTGCCCTTTATTTATTTCTCTCTTAATGCCATATGCCACCCCAATCATTTATCTGTTGTCTGAAAATTAAAACTGGAGGCTTTTCTAGTCACGCATAATATAACATTTAACATCCCATGGTTTAGTGTGTTCTTAGAAATGCCTGTTTGTTCTAGTACTTAATCTTTTTTTCAATTGTACTATGATGGAAGTTTAATGCATCACAACGTTAAAAGCTGTTTATCAGTGCTATAATGGAGGATGCTAATGCTGTTTTTTTGCTTTTAATTTGGCCAGAGTTGATTCCTTTTTTATTTTAAATTTGTTTTTAATGCAACCTTGTCACTATAGACCAGATTTTACTGTAGTTGTTATTTTAACTGCAAAGGATGTTGATCTACTTCAGTTTAGTGTTGTCCTACAAGATATCTTAAGTCAGTATTTGTGGTGGGATTATTTTCCTTAGAGGTATTTTATGATGAGATTTATTGTAACTTTGATGATGAAGATAGGTCGAAGATAAAAGTTCTCTCAGGTTATGTACTTTCATAAAAATCTTTATTTAAGTGGCTTGAGTGACATTCCTGTAATTGGATTTACCAAGAACGAAGATTCCTATATCTAGCCAGTTGTGAATGCTTCATAATAAAATAAACCTGTTGATGAGAACATGGTTTCCTTATTGAACTGATCATGCTAATCAATATTCATCATGCCAGCTGTTGACAGCTTAAGCGTTGACTACCTAGTATTGCAACCCTGAGCCTCAAAGAATACTGTAAACTGTGTGGGCTCTCGAATTGATAAATGGCTAAAATGCTGTCTAGGTTAAATAGCTATACTGGAAAATCACAAAGTATCACTGGCAGTGATCAAATTTACCCCAATAAAAAGTCAATTCTTAAGTGACACCAAAATGGAATATTATCTGTTCAAGCCAAGACTTAACAAAATTATGCCCCAATGGTCCACTCGTATCAGAATTCTACTGCGATTCTAATTTACAGAAAACAGAAACAAAATATGTAGTAACAAGCACTATAAAACCAACAGTAACCACAAATATCTTTTAAAAGATAAATGAAATTCTACAACCCTATGGTAACTCAACACAAAATAAAATTGATAAAAGTTGATACTTAATAGAATTGACCTCTTTTCAAACAAAAAATAGAAAGGAAAAACAGTCACTTAAAAGATCAAATGTTGACATGACACCAAATGTAGTAAATACTGTACATTAACACAGAAATCTATTAGTTGATATGACATACAAGCTGCTTGGAGCATATGAATATGGTGTGAGTTCCTCACACAATGATGCAGAGGTAGTTGTGACTCTGCCACTTGCATGTGAAATAGCAATATTTTCCTCAAGTTCATGCTGATGGAAGGTAGAGGACTGCTACAAGTTCAAGTGAGATATTCAGGAAGACAAAAACGAAGCTGATAGTGGCACATTGAAATGACAACTATTTCAGTACACACAGTTGATAAAATCTGATAAAATAACTAAAACCAGAAGTACAATTCATCAGTTGAACGTGTACAGCAGCCAGACAATCAAAACATGTTCCTGTCTCAACCATTATACTAAGTTTGAAGTTTTACTTAACACAAAATGAGTGTCAGTATAAAAAATACAATACGGTAATTAAAAGTCTAATAAACTAAGTACATAGAAGTTGCCAGAACAAACTAGTTGTGGTGCCAAAACTGAATGCCTCAACTTACAGCAATGTCAAGAGTACACAGAAAAGAGAAGCAATATATGACTTGATATGCACATGACTCATCTTAAAAAGCAACACAACACCCACATAAATACATACTGTTAATGTCAGTCCAATAGATAGACAAAATTTACATGAATTTCTGCATTAAAAAAAAAAGTTGAAACTGTAAACATTTAAGTTTAACATTAAACGCTGGCTCAATTCAAAAACAATAGAGAGCCACTAATACTATTAAAGAGAGACATGCCAGCCTCCGTTAAGATACAAAATGGTACCATGCTTTCCTCAGACAGAAGGCATACTCAAAATAAATATTTCAAGACATCTGAGACTAAAGTAAGATTTCTTGATAGATTGACAAAATATTAAGACTCATCAGAAAACACCTAAGAAAAAAAATGCTCACAAAACATGGCAGTAGATATCGTTGTTTTCAGAAACTTTTGCTTAAATGCAAGCAAACACATTTAAGGTGGCAGATTTCCATTTCAAAAGAGTTATAGTATGCAATAACCCCTGATACAAGTTTAAGTAAACCTACAGATTAATCTTCACTTGACAGTAGGCATTTGCAGTGTTATCATGCAATAATTAAATTGCAGACAGCTGAAACACCTCTAGACATTTCTCGTAAATTAAATGACTAAATTTCATCCCAGGCCAGCTGGTGTACACACACATCCCAATTAATTGTTAAGATAAGGCCTGATAAGATGTTAAGGATTTACAGTACATATTATTACATTACTTACAGACTAGTAACCTAGATCACCTTATTTTTTACATTAAGCATAACATTTTTCAGTTCAGATTAGTATAAAAGGAGAGATGAATTGGATCAATCTCTAACGATGTGGTGTAATACTTCACGTTGATAGAAATGAGACCATTTACTTTTCTTCCTTCAACCAACATGCCAATACTCTTGCAGATCAAAATTCATAACTGAACTGACTGGTCCTTAAAGACCTTAAAGACTTATGATGCAGTTTACTCAGAGCAATACACACTTGCACACAAAATAACTTGTTGCACTTCAAGTAACCCTGTCTTTCACAGTTCCACACCTTCTTCAATGAACTGGTGGATATTAAATGGTAAAATCACATTTAAATGGGCTCAAATGAGAAAATTCACTCACATAGCAAATCCGTTTATGAGGTGCACAGGCATTGAACAAGTGTCCATTTTTCTCATCAAGGAGATTTTTACCAAGAGAATGTTGTACATAGCGGCACTTAGCCGCCAAGGCCAACCTCAAGAGGGTAAGCTGTTCATTTCAAGAACAATACTGTTTGAATTGCTTTGAGGTCTTTCTTGATCAGCAGTCTTTTCAAGAGGCAATGCTTTGCAGCTGCTATTCACATTTGTAGGCGGCCAAGAAAGCTGGCGGTCAGTAGGTAGAGGATTCCACGATGGGGACACACTGTCAGTGTACCCAGAGGAGCTCAAGGATTTATCACCATTATGCAGCACTATTCCATTCTTCAAAACATGGTTGTTTGTTACTGGATCAGATGTTTTGCTCACAGGCACTTTATCAGATTCGCTAATTGTGCGACGCTTTGGCACTTGGATAAGGGCTATTGGATCTAGAGTGACTCCACAAACACTTGCCAATCTATTTAAAAAAAAAAAAATTATCACTGATGATATAGGTGTACTGAGTGGCAAAAATATCCAACTTATTTTACTTGACATACCTCTGCCTGGAGATCTGATTAGCCTCTCCCTGTGCTGCTGAAAACTCACTGCAAATTTCTGTTATGGTAGCGGGACTTCGAGGAGGCTGTTTCAAAGCACTACTAACATCCATAACTGGAGGCTCTTGAGAGAGTGGAGGCCATGAATGGTCATTGGAAAGGTCTCTTTCAACCTTAAGGTATTTACGGTGAGACTTTTCAATGTTATGAAACCTGTACCTAAAATAAGATGTGATATTAATATTTGATTTAAAAAATCAAAGTTTCACTGAAAAAAATTGTCAATGACAAACCTTAGCTTTTTGATGACAACATAATCAATAAGGAAAGTTTCAATCAAGGATGCAAGGCAAAAATTTATGCCAGCATAAACAAGAATCAAAATACAAAAGCTCATGTCCACAGGCATTTTTAATTCAAACTGATCTTCAACCCATTTTGGGGGACCTAGGACAAGCCAAGCCGTCAAGGCAGCAGTTCCAACAGATGACAGTAACATGCCATAGTTGCTAGTGATTGGTTTCCTATAAGGAGGTCCTTTCGAGAAGACAACAGCCAAAATGATGTACTGAAAACTGGAAGTAGCAAATATTGCATAGTTTTCAAAACAGCCAACTCCATTTTCCTCTTTTGTGGATGCTGCATCAAAATGGACAAACCAATCATATCTGCAAACCATAATACCCAAAAATTCAGTCTAATTATTTAAACTTCAAGAAATTTAGTCATGATGAAAGCATTGTCTAATTAACACTTACGTCTGAATGTGATAGAAACTACCAGTCTGGACAACAATCACCACAAGAATCTGGGCAAGAAGGGAGAGCACTGGGGACAGTGATACAAGTGAAGCCAAAGGTGGCGTTTTCACAAGGGGCCCATCAAATGCTTCAGTGCGACCAAAGAAAAAGGCAAACACCTACAATAAAAGACACTCATTAGAAAATCAAGCAAAAAGGAATTGAAAGCAGTTACAAAGAGAAACAAGAAACTGAGACAAACCGTAATCATGAAGAGATCAATGTAGAGATATTGCATATCGGTGAGGTTTGAATCAATGGAGTACAAAATCATGACAGAAACGAATTGGCAAAGACTATACGCTGCCATGTACTTAAATATACCGAAAGAAGTGACCAAAGCTGCACGTCCTTCACGGATAACAGTCGGTACACATGAAATATTTGCAACTTTGGACGTAAAAGGAGAGGCAACAGACGACTCTGCTTCTGATAAGGATATCCCAGTGTGGGCGGCTTTAAGAGCTCCACAGTCATTTGCTCCATCGCCGCACATAGCTGTGTTGGAAATAAATGTAAAGTTACAAAGTGAACGTAAAACAAAATAGGTTTCACAAGGCATCAGAGACTTACCAACATAGTACCCAAGACCTTGCAGTTCCTGCACAAGCTGTTGTTTCTGATCCGGGCTCATACGAGCAAATACAGCCCCTCTAGTAACAATTCTTGGAATAAGTTCCGGGAAATGATTCTTGATAATGGACCAGGTGCGGCCAGTAATAGCGAAGCAAAAATCTTTGCTAAACATGTCCAGTTTCACATCTCTGTAACAGTAACGGAAAGGTAACAACACACTAATCTTAACAAAACAGTAGTTGTTAATTTGTTCAAAATTTTTACACAGACCCATTGCCTAGCTGAGTTGGACTGCCTGATGGGTCTTCTATAAACACAACAGATCCTGATTCAATTGTGGCAAGGCTCTGCAAGCTGTTGCTATTGGTCATGTTTGTCATATAGCTAGCATCTCCACCTCCCTAAAAAATTATGTCACAGACATTATTACACAGAATAATTTAATGCACATAATGAACAATGGCCTTAGAGTTAAAGTGATTGCTAGTAAAACAGACAACTTACATTAGCAATTGCAGCATCAGCTTGAGACTGGGTGAAACAAATTTGAGGAGACTGCCCTGCAATGGCTGGCACTCCATGGACCACAATGATGGAACGACAAGCAGGAATCATCCCGCAATCACGAGCCACACTCATACCCGTTTGAATGTTGTCTCCCGTAACCATTATAGTACGAACATGAGCTGAGCGCAGTTCTCTGATTACCCCTGTGGTTTCCGGTTTCAAACGATTCTCCATAATGACTAAGCCAATAAATTGCAAAGCACATTCCACATCTTCCCGCTGCATTCTTTGGATCTTTACGTAACTACCAGAGAGTGTCTTTGTTCCAACAGCTAATACCCTGTACCCTTGTTGTGTATACTCCTCCAAGATTGAATGGAACTCGGGGGGAACTGCAAACATGACACTCCATTAGGCACAATGTATATGTTACTTTAAATAAGTTTAAAAATAAATGTAAAATTATTTACTTGAGTTGGGAAGAGAAAGGGACATGATCATTTCAGGAGATCCCTTGCAATACACTTTGAATTTGCTCGCCCCTAATACTCGACTGATTACACTCATTCTTTGCAGGCTTGATGAAAAAGGAAATTGTCGGAGAATACCTATTTCAATAGGTTCCTGAGAATAAGAAAAGAAAAATCACAATTACACATGCTATCTGCACCTTGAATTCAAAAACTGTTAAATTGCTTTAAATTGAAGGCTCTTACTACATCAGGAGCATTTGAAGGAGGAGGCCGGACAACAGTAGGAAAAATCAGATCAAACTTTGAATTATCATCAATTTCAGGTTCTTCTAATACCCAGTTTGTTGATTCAAACATCTGAAATAGTTAGAAATACTCTTGAAAACTGAAAGATGACCCCCACACAATAACAGGCCACAGGAAGAAAAATAATTTTAGAACCATAAAACACCATTACCTTAAGGTCAAGAGGATCTCCAGACAGTTTGCCATCAATGATTGTGAGGGAGTGGCAAGACACCATTGCTCTACAAAGCTCATCATCCACAGCCAATGTGTCCACCTCTCTGATAGGAAGATGAAAATGATTGTTCCGAAGAGGAACCACTCCCCACATATCCATACCATCTTCAGTTAAGGTGCCAGTCTTATCAAAGCACACACAGTCGATTGAACCCGATACATTGATGCACCTTGGAGTGATGCAGTATATATCCTTCTTCCCTAGCCTGTTTTGAGCATAAAAGTGACCGACTGTCATAGCAGCAGGTAGAGCAGGGGGAACTACTACAGTGATGAGATCCAATGCTTCCAAAGTTATGTCTCTGGCACTCACACCTCTCATAAACTAGAACAAAACGGAAAGGAAGATTAGATAAAATTATGTAAAAAGGAAACTTCAAGAATGTGTTCCTAAAGTAATAACATACCTTTGTAAGAATTGTGTACACAAAGCCAATACTAGCAATGCCAGCAAGCAGTTTGACAAACTTGTAGGAATCATGTTCAAACTTAAAATCAACGGGAGGAGGATATAAAATAGAACGAACTAAATTGCCTTTTGAAGTGGAGAAACCAGTACGGACTACAACAGCAAGAACTTTCTCTTTATCAAAATAGCGGGTTTGAATAACTTGAGTACCACAAAACAAAGTGTGGCGTGAGTGTTCTTTCTGATCAAATATCAAAGTCTGCACGTTTGGTAGAGATGTTTTAGTCACTGGAACACTCTCACCTAAAAAAAGCAGACCGAATCACAGTTAAGTTGATCTAGAATTTTAAAAAATCATATTGTTAATTTTTAACATATACATGCATGTATATATACACCTACCAGTCAACATGCTTTCATTGACAATGCATGTGCCTGTAAGAAGGACGGCATCACACTGCATAATGCAGCCATGAGAAGGGACAACGAGCAAGTCTCCTGGAACTAGATGTTCAGTAGGGACAGTGACCACCTCTCCAGTATTGCCACGAATAATAGTGGCAACATCAGAAGAATGAACAGTGCTCTGAAGATTCCGTAAATTCTGTACAGAAAAATCCAAAGTAAGCCATCCAGAAAGGAACTAAAATTTTTTATATGCTGATGAGAAGAAAAAATACTTACACGTCTTGTTTGCATTATGGACATCGAAACACCAAATATCGACATTATGAGGATGGCAGTAGCATATGAATAATAGTTATCCAGGAACCACAGTATGAATGAACAAAATTGGAAAACATAGAAAGGGTTCAAGACTTCAAGGAACAAGAGTTCGGGGACACTTTTCAGGGGGATCCTTATTTCATTGTTGCCATACACGCAGCGACGCATGTACTGATCTTGCAGGGACACTCCCTTCTGCTGATGAAGTGTTGATGTAGACACTTCATTATCGAGCCCTTGAAGCTGTTGAAATTCATGGCGGTCCCAGTCCCAAGCAAAGCGCATCTTTTTGCAACGGAACATCCGTAAACAGTCCACTTCTAAAAACAGAGTCAATAACAAGCCTTCAATTAGGAAGCTACATCAAAACTCTGTGTCAAAGCTAAACAAATTGAGTGAATGAACAAACCTTTGAAAACCCCCCCAGATGTATGAATACTGAGGGGAACATTGCTCTGCCTAATTTCTGAAAGTGCTTGCATGTCCCAACTGTCATCAGCACCTTTGTCTTTCTTGTCTCTGAAGCTTCTACACGTTGAAAAGAAGGCAATAGAAAATAAGTATTAAAATGATGGTTAATGCACAAATTGCATATGATAATATTAATTTATAAAAGGAATGGCTTACTCGAGATTATCCCTTGTGTATGTGACAACATTCTTCACATGATAGCATTTGTGTTTTTTCTGAAACTCTTCCTGTTAATAAAGATTGTGAATAAAAATTTTGTTGGTGTACCATTCATTAAAGCAACATTTCAGAAACCTGACATACCACTAGAAGAACTTTTTGAGCTGTTTCTAATCCACATTTTATATGAGTGGCAAATAACCACCAATGGGGCGTCCAATGAAAGAAGAGACGAAGCAGCCCACCAGTCAATATTATAAAGAACCAAGTAATAGCTGTCAGACATGGGCTTCGGCAATATCCATACACTTCCTGTCAAAACAAGAAGACACATTTAATTAATAACAGAACATGACAAACCATCTTGTATTTAATTCTTCAGAAAAGCAATTCCTAACCATTTGGTCATCTTTTCCAGCATTGATGTAATCAACACCAGATTGCATCTTTGGAGCGGCACCATTTCTGATCTTTCCTTTAGTACCTGAAATAAGAGAAGACAAATAAATACTTGGGGACAAAACACTTCTAGGGATAAATCTAAAACAAATAAAACATGTTAGGCGAAAGTAAAATGTTGTTTTGGTTTTGTTGTGTCTTTTTTAAGAGAGGAAAAGAGAGATAAAAAGTTAATTAATACTGGGGGGAAGAAAGAAAGAGAACATGATTAAAATAAGGTACCACATGAGCACAAAAATGATACCTTGATTTTCCAAAAGCTCTGCATTTTGTTCATAGAGCTGTTTCTTGCGAAGATGTTGATCACTATCTGAGATCCATGCTCTCAAAGAGTAGATGAAACCACCTCGGCTACTATTCATATTGGTAGAAGTCATCTTCACAAATCTTGAAACAATGTTGTGCAACAAGAAAAACTGCTTAACAAGCTTGAAGTCTTGCCAGTTGAGTCTGAGTCAGTTGCAGGAGAATATCAGCAACTAGTTGACTATCGATTGCACAATTCGACTAACACTAATGATTAAATAACAATATATTTTCGAGTTTAGAACTAAGCCACTAAGCTGACAATCTCATTCACAACTTAAGCAGCAGCAAGTCTCTTTTAACATAGAAACTTTTTGAAAGTAGAAAAGAAAAAGTTTAAAGACTATCAGTCTATCTACATAACACAGTATATTTATGAGGAAAACAAATACCTCCTATATTATCACAGAAATGTAATTTTTAAGTACCCAAGGTCTTATTCACTATTGGCAAATAGTGCACAGATCAATACGAGCTGTCGGAGATCAGTTTTGAGTCACACGACACTGCTTCCAGGGTTTTCACCGGTTTGTTGTTTTCTTCCTAAAGAATCCGAACTGGTTCGGGGAGTGATTCTGCTTGCAGTCAGCAATGCAACTTCTTCAGGCTTCAGGCCATTGAAATCTAGTTTTCCAAGCAATGTTCACCTCCCCAACCACAGAGGCATTGGCTACCTTGGCTTGGTGGGGTGTTGCTGGAGTAACAGCTGATGTCAGTCCCCAGGATCTGGCTTTCGCCATCCAATACGAGACCTCTTGGCATCAATCTCACAGCAGGACATTGCACCGAATGTAATCTTTAAAGAAAACTTGGATGATGGGTCCTTAGACATCACGAATAGAAGTATCTGCCTTAAAGTAAGATGTTCAATGAAAATAAACCAAACAGACTAGATAGATAGGTTGAGTGTCCTTGTCTTCCTTTGAGTCCATTAATAAAATAATGCTATAGTAAAGGGGCGAGTTGCCAAATCACTTGAGACTCAAAACTGGATGGCCACACAAAATCATCGGACGTTGTTTCAGACTAAAATTCTTGATCCAGTCTTTAAATATCATGGTGAACACCAGGTGACACAGGGCAGTCCGATTGCAGGTAGGCCGGGGGCGGATCAAGTGGACACCTCTTCAAGGCGAATGCTCCACTCCACGATTTGGTGCTTGCTTGGACTAGACCACTAGACACTGGCAGAAGCAGACGACTTGCTCTGGCTTCGGCAGACGTGGGTGCAGTCCGCGACGTCTGGGCGCGACGCGGCAGCGCATGTGACAACGACACCGCCAGGCCGTCTCCAAAAAAGGCGAGCCCGGGCGCTGCGAGTGCGAGGGGCACGCTCGGTACGCTGCGGTCGGACGTGAGACACTCTCGCACTTTGCACGCTATCCCATTCAAGGATCACGCTCACGGCGACGGCCTTTCCTTTCCGGACGCGACGGCAGGGCTTGACGCGGGACCCAGGAAGACGCGGGGCACGGCCAGCTAAAATTAACAGGAACCAGATCGAACCAGCTAACCCGTGCAGCGCGACCAGATAAGTGCGAAGCCTTTGCGAAGCGAGGATGTCGCCTCGCTGATCGTCATCGGAAAACCACCACAACTGGTACTACGTTTACACGGGGGAGCTAGCCTCGGTCAACTCGAGGGGTGGGGGAGTGGAGGGGAGACACCACTCAGCCAGGGCTAGCAGACGTCGTGTTCACGCGGTGCCGGTGGAGCGTTGTTGGGGTGACTTTCTAACCTCAAGATAGCCTAAACAATTTCGAATTTAAGTCGAAATCAGGTCGAAATTTGCTTTACGCAATCGACAAAGGATATTTTTATTCAGAAACGATCAGTTACAAGTGGTAAAAAACAAATCAATAAAAATTACATAAAATAGAATAAGTAAATTAATGATTTCATACAACAGAAAACTGCTTCCCAAGTTTTTTCCAACGATTTCACAGGTGTATTCATAATAATAGAAAATAGATGGGCTTACAACACCTCAAAAACACTGCGCACACCTAACCTCACTTGACCGTGTGGTGTTTACACGTTGGAGTTAGCCTCGGTCAACGGGTTAGCCAGGGTAGCTCGAGGGGTCTAACTCGTTGACCCACCTACGTGTTCATGCGCGTGAGTTGACCCCGGCTAGCTCGAGACCTACCCCCTCCACTCCCCCACCCCTCGAGTTGACCGAGGCTAGCTCTCTCGTGTAAACGTAGTATGGGCGACGGCGGAGCGGACGGGGACGGGCAGCTCGGCTCGGCTCGCGCATGCACCCTGGGGGGCAGGCGCCCAGCGCCTCTCTCCGCTCGCCCGCGAAGCGTCAAGAGGAGCGTTGCCACGACAGGAAACGCGAACGTGGTTCGCCCCCGGCCGAGAGGCCGCGCTTTTCGGCGGCAGCGGGACGGGTTGCGGCCGCCGAATGCACGGCGCGGCGACTGCAGCACGGGGAGGCGGCCGGGGCGCGGCGATGCACACTGAGGCGACCGCGGCAGCAGAGGTTAGGTTGGCCGGGCCGCAGTGCGACGCGGTGCGCTATGAGAAATCGCTGCGGTGGCGCCTACACTTGCGCTCGGCTCCGCGGTCGCGGTTCGGGCCGCGGGCTGCCGAGGCGACGTCGGGCGCCGCGACGGCGTCGTTCGGGTCGGAACGCCCCGTGCCTGACCCACCCCGGGGTGAATGAATCACAGCTTGACGACGTCATCGGGCAACGCGCCATAGCACGCCGTAGGAGGAACGGTGACGTGTTTCCCTCGAATTTGGCCTGAATTTGGCGGCTGCCACTTCCGCCACGAGGAAGTGCTCTCAGCGCGCTTCTTGGGCTTGCGCGCGTTCTTCGCGGCGATAGGGGCGAGTCCGGCGAGCCTGCAGAGACGTGAAGAGAGCAGAAGTGCAGCCGGCCCGGCTCGTCTTGTGGCGTCTTAGCCTTGTGCAAGAGCGCGGACTGCAGTTCTTGATGACGTGCGATTGAAGTCAGGCGAACTTGCCCGCGTCCTCACAAAGGCCGACCGACTGTCGTTGATTTTGATTTCACGATGACGGAGCTTCATGCCTGTACATGTTGGGACCTGAGCATTTTCCTGAATGACCACGAGGGAAGTCCCAGCGCTCCAGCACAATGTGTAAAACTGGGTGTAGCGTTCTTTTCACTGTTCAAAAGAGAGAAAGAGAGGTTTCCCGGTCCAGACGACTTACCATACAAGTCTCCGTCGTCGAAAGAGAAGGCGGATCCGGTGGAGCCCGCGAGGCCGCTGGCCGCGGCCGCCGCCAGGACGCCGTCTTCCGGATGGCATTCGCGCCCCAGGCTCGCCGTCCGGCTCGAGCTCCTGGAGCTGCTGCTGCCGCAGCTGTCGAGGCTTCTGGTGGAGGCCCTCGACCCCGCCGTGGAGTCAGGAGCCGCCCCCAGGCGGGGGAGCACCGACAAAGCTGCATCCGAGGCGTCGGGGAGTCCCTCTGGACCGCGAGGCGCCGCTGAGGTTGTGTCTGGAGGCTCCTCTGGGCAGGAGGGCGCCGCTGAGGATGCATCTGGAGGCTCCTCTGGGCAGGAGGGCGCCGCTGAGGACGCATCTGGAGGCTCCTCTGGGCAGGAGGGCGCCGCTGAGGTTGCATCTTGGGGCACTGCGATAGGTGACGCTGACGGAGGCTGTGCCGGAGCGGCGGCCTCAGCTCCAGAGGCCGGGACGTAGGCACGCTCTGCGGGTGCCGCCGCTGCAGGCGATGCAGGTGGGTGGCCGCCGCGGCCTGCCCGCGCCGCGTCGTGGCCGTCGACGGCCGTCATGTTTGTCATGGGGCGACGGAGGGTGGCGGCCTAGCGTGGCCTGTCGTGGCCTGGCGGCACGGTGCCCTCGGTGCCGAGATAAGACGGTGGAGGGCGCTAGCGCGGCGCGGAGGGCGCGGGGGCCGCGGGGTCCCAGTCGGCGGCACTGTAAGGGCTGCTGCAGCACGCCGAGCACGTCAAGCACGCCGACCCTGCCCCTGCCATATCAGCCGGCCAGCCGGTGCTGCTGCTGCCCTCCTCTGCCCTCACGCCTCTCGACGACACGTGTCCCGGACTCACGCTGTTCCTCGCCGCCGGGGTGTCCGCAGGTCACCGCCGACACCTTCAGGCTTCAGTGCGTGGAGGCGTGGAGGCGCGCTGTCACCACGGCCTGATGCCGCCAACTGGGCTTGCTAGCCTGCTGGCGCGGGCGTGCACTCGGCGGCGACCTCTTGTTGATACAGCGGTCCGCTGCGGCGTGCGGCACACGGCACGGGCACTGCGAGGGCACCGCGACACGTCGGGTCGTAGGTCGAAGGTCCACGCGCGGTTTCGATCGGGTTACAGTGCGCGGTCAGTGCGGCGCGTCGCTGCGCGTTGCGGTGCGCTGCGGTGCGCTTGTCGAACCTGGCGGCCTGGCGCGAAATGTCTTGCCTGCCGCAATGTGGACTGCTACTAGCCCGCCTGTCGGCCTGTCGGGCTGTCGGGCCGTCGGCCTGTCGGCCTGTCGGGCCGTCGGTGGGCGGGGGCCTGGCCTATCCTATCCTATCTCCTTCTCACGGCGAACGACGCGGAGCTCTAAGAGAGGCCGATAACGCAGACATGCCGCGCCGCGCCACGGCCACGGCCCCGTCCTGGCGGGCAGCGAGCACGTGCTGCTGGGCAGCCGCATAAGGGGAAGCCAAGCCCGCGCCCTGCCCCCCGGCCAGCCTGCCCCGGCCCTGGCCTGCCCCCGCCACGCACCTCCACGTTTGCGACACGCCGGGTGCCCCCGCCCCGCTCAGTGAGATGAACAAGGATAGCACTACAAACTCATTAGCAGCGAGGAGCCGCGCATCCGTCAACACAGTAGTTGATTTATTTTGCTGTTTTTGCCTCTCCCACGGCGCAAGGCGCGCAAGGCTGTCTGCTGATTACCAGCGCGCATGATCCGCATGATGGTGGCGCCGCCGAGTGCCTGGTACAGTACGCACCGCCGCACTGCTACAGTGTACCAAGTACAGCGGGTGGCAGTGGCGGCATTGTAGTGCCGGCGGAAGGCACTCTGGAAGGGAAACGCCCATTATTCCGCCCCACCTCCGCCGCGCCACACCGCGCCACGCCGCCACACACAACACTATACCGGCAACCAAGCAATTGCACCTGTCCGCAGCTGTCTGTTCTGTAGGGCTCGGCGGCAGATTCAGCCAGCCAAGGCCACAGATGGGCCGCTGTCGCCGCGCAGCGCCGCGCCGAAAAAGTTCCTGGGATTATGTCAGCGACCAGCCGCAGCCGTACAGAGGCGTCCCGTCCAGCGTCCAGCCCATTGTATCCCTCATCAAAATGATTGGTTAGACAAGTTGGCGGAAACGGCCGGCCCATCCATTCCTAGTCCAGTTTATCCAGCCAGCAGGTGCTGCAGTTGCGCTGGAGTGGCTGGTCCAGTCGGCGCGTGTGCCAACAGCGGCCAACAGCCGTACGGACCGACTCCGAACAGCGCTGCATCGCTCCGTCTCTCTCACTCCCGCTTCTGTCTTCCATGAGAGTGAGAGAGACAAAGCGCCGGAGCACCGACGAACGACCAGCAGACTGATTCAGAGAGTCATTTTCGTCCCTCTGTCTCTGGCGTCCCGTATGGGCTCGAGAGAGACAGAGCGACGAAAACGACTCTCTGAATGAGTCTGCCGCCCGTGCAGTCCAATCGAGGCAGCGCCGTGAGGTACAGTACAAGGAGGTACGAGCCCGCTGTGCACGGCGGCGGCGGGGACGCAGGACTCGGTCTGTTCGTCGCGAGAGCAGGGAGATCGGCCCGCGAAGGCCTTAGGAACCCTCCAGAAGTTCCGGTTGGTTCCGGCGCGCGATCTGGACCGCTCCGGTTCCAAGAGGTTCGTTCCGGCCTCGCCTGGGCTTACCAACCGGACCCCCCCCCATGGAGGCGCGCACCTGTTCGGGTCATCAACCTGTGTCTCCTTCTACAACGGGTTTCGTAGAAAACGGACCCGAGATATTGCCTCGACAAACTGGGCGCCGCCGGAGTTTGCGAGGGATCTGGACAGGAGCACGCGGTCGCATGAAGAAGGGGGCAGGGCGAAGCACACCTTTCGCAAAGCATCAAGACTTGGACCAAGAGGACGCCGTTGATCCCCGAGATAAGGGGACGAAGCAGGGGGGCACCGGAACCGGTTGCGCTAGCAGGGGCTGTTCCGGGGTGTGGGCCTGCATAACCCCCTCGGGGGGATGTCGACCCCCTCCCTGACTGGCCATACTGCGAGTGGGGGCTTGTAGTCGCTTGAGGCTCTTCCCCGCCGGGATAAAGTGTCACCTTAGTAAGGACGGCCATGTCTCGTTTTGCAGTGCAGGCGGGCATGTGTCGGGCCCGAAATGGCATACGATCAATTGTGGTCTAGCCCTTAATGGTAATGGTAATGGAACGCCCGGCATGCCGCACTGCGTGCACGTTCGGCGGGCTGCCTACCGCCGCCGCCGCGAGGCGCTCTGAGCCAACGAACCGCCACCGCGGAGGCTCGAGGCTCGGCGCGGCGGCGCGCGTTGGCATTCTCTGCCTTGCCCAGTAGACTGATTCCGAGAAACGTTTCCATTGCTCTGTCTCTCTCGCACCTATAGAGGACGCCTCGTGAGTGCGAGAGAGACAGGGCGACGAAAACGACTCTCGGAATCAGTCTACAGAGTCCCCAAATCGAGACCTCCGCAGCGAGGCGCGGCGTGGGCGAGCTTTGTGCAGTGATGCAGTTTCTGCCTGCGAGTCGCGTGTCGAGTGGACTAGCGATTGCGGCCAGTCGCTCGCCGCTCGCTTGTTTGTCATCCGGCCGAGTCGCGGTTCAAGTCGCCAAACTAGGCTACTCGTTTCATAAACGGCCCGCTGCCAGCGACTCTCAGTAGACGGGTTCTCAGAATCGGTTTCGTCGCTCTGTCTCTCTCGCACGTAAACGGGACGCCCCATGAGAGCGAGAGAGACAGAGCGACGAAGCGACTCTAGAAATCAACCTGCGGCTTGGTGATCGTATAGAGGGCATGGAGGGCGGCTCGCGACGTGCGCGCGGCTAGGTGGGTGCCCTGCAGGTGCCCTGGCGAGCCCCAGCCCCAGACCCCGGCCCGGCGTGTGGCCAGCTCAAACCGCCCCGAGGGCCGAGGGACCCGAAGTCCGAAGCCTCACAGGCGCGGCCACAACCCGCACGACGCGGCAGGCGGCAGGAACTTGCCGACGCGCCGCTCCCGCCACCCACGTCACCCCCAGCCCGCCCCGCCCCGCCCCGCCCCGCCCCGCCCCGCCCCGCCCCGCCCCGCCCCGCCCCGCCCCGCCCCGCCCCGCCCCGACCCGCCCCACCCCGCTCCGCCCCGCCCCGCCCCATCCCCGCGGAGGCAGAGGCAGAGGCGGCGGAGCCCCAGTCACAACAAGCCAGTAAAATTAGACGATCGATGCCCATTGCCCATTGCGCTCGTCAGGACCATCAGTCGCCGCCTCGGCCGATAATGTGGCGTAATTGAACAAACAGGTGGTTCATTGGGTGCTGCGGGACGCGGAAGAGCGGTTTTCAGTTAAGGGTCGCAATTTGGGCTGGGCAGCGAGCCAACTTCTCTACAAACTCAAGTGTGTACATAGTACACACCACCTGGAGTGAACAGTACACTCCAACCTGGAGCGTACTTAGCATGTACACTCCAGGTTGGCGTGTACTTGCCAAGTACATGCCAGGTGGCTCATACCTGCAGCAGGGAGCCAGCAACAGTGTACCTGAAGGTATGCGCCACCTGGCGTGTGCTTGGCAAGTACACGCCAACCTGGAGTGTACATGCCAAGTACACGCCAACCTGGAGTGTACATGCCAAGTACACGCCAACCTGGAGTGTACATGCTAAGTACACTCCAGGTGGAGTGTACTATGTACACACTTGAGTTTGTAGAGTTCTTCCACTCAAATGCTCATTTCTTTGGCGTTTTCGTGTGTCCGAACCTCAGGCAGAACCGAGCCGGGCCTGCTACTGACACTGACCACAATTGTGTACAATTGAGTGTAGTGAGTGAGTTTCCCAGTGGATTCAGCCGCGCCAATTACCATCTCACGTGTTTCTCAAACAAATTGCCGACATAAAGACGTTTGTCAGGTAAAATCCAAGGGTGGGAGTGAGTGTGAGCTGGGCGTGCACAGACTGCAAGAAGGGGCCGACGCCTCAGCAGCAACAAGAAGTGTTATGGTGTCCGACCCAGGACCCAGGACCAGGACCCACCCTGTTTTAGAGGCCCTAACAGAAGAGACTGGAAATTCTAGCAGTAGTTCAGAGCACTCTTCACTGACGCTCGCAACGGGTTGCGCGCAACCCCCCAGGAGGGCCAGGGCTCGCCCCACGGGGCCGGGCCGCTGCGGCAGCGCCGCGCGGCACTGGCGGCACGCGCGCGTGGGCGTGGCAAGGACAAGGACGCCGTGCTGCCTCAGCTGGCTCGTTCCGAACAGCGCTTTCTCGCTCTGTCTCTCTCGCACCCCCGCGGGGAGACCCACGAGTGCGAGAGAGACAGAGCGACGAGCCCGCGGTCGGCCCAAGGCCCTCTGGGATAAACTTGGCGCGCGGGCCGCGGCGCCAACGTGGCCTCATGGTGGCCCGCACCGACCCGACGGCCGGGCCGACCCCCAGCGGGGACGCCGACGCGGGGAAAGCGGGCGCGCGTTTGAAGCGGCTTCGGCTTCGGCACCCCGGCTGACGACACCCCTCCTCCCTCCGCCCGGCTCCGCCCGGCAAGGTTAGGCAGCGGGGCGCCTCATTGAATGAAGCCATTTCGTCTCGGCGCGCGGCGCTGCGGCTTGCCTGGGCTTGCCCGCCAAAAGGCTAAGAATAGCGCGGCCAATGCATGGAGTGGAGGCGCCCGCCGCCCCGCCGCCTCGCTCTTGACTTGCTCCGCACGCTATATTAACTCATCGCCTGGTGTGTGTGTGTGTGTGTGTGAGAGAGAGAGAGAGAGAGAGAGAGAGAGAGAGAGAGAGAGAGAGAGAGAGAGGGAGTGTGTGTGTAGTGTATGTGTGTGTGTGGTGTATGTGTGTGTGTGGTGTATGTGTGTGTGTGGTGTATGTGTGTGTGTGGTGTATGTGTGTGTGTGGTGTAGTGTGTGTGTGGTGTATGTGTGTGTGTGGTGTATGTGTGTGTGTGGTGTATGTGTGTGTGTGGTGTATGTGTGTGTGTGGTGTATGTGTGTGTGTGGTGTATGTGTGTGTGTGGTGTATGTGTGTGTGTGGTGTATGTGTGTGGTGTGTGTGCGTGTGTGTGTTGCGGTCAGTGGCGGGGGTCAAAGTGATTCGACAGCGCGACAAATTGAATCGCCGCCCCGACAAGTACTACAAGTACGCCGCAGCGCAAGCAACGCGCCGCAAGCAGCGAGAGTGGCGCCAGCGAAATGATCGTGACCACCCCAACGAGCTCGCCACGCTCGCCACTCACCAGGGAGGGCCGGGCTAGGCTACATTTTCCTACTTTTCCGGAATCCCGTCGCCGTGCGTGTTTGTGACCGCGAAGTTCTGTCCTCGCGACAACGAAACGCCCGTCTTGAGCACCCTTCGGCGCCTGTGAGGTAGGCCACCTTTTCGGCCCGCTAGACACCCCTGTGGAGACGGTGGCCTACCTCACCCCTGTGAAGGAAGGGGCAAGGTAGGCCACCGTCTCCACATGGGTGTCTTGCGGGCCGGGAAGGCCAGGCGCTGAAGGCCACACAAGCCGTGCGCTGGGAAGGGGCTGCTGCCCGGCTGCTGCCGGCAGGGTCGACATGAGCCCCATCCCGATTGAGCCCGGATGACCTGAGCCCCGGCCAGAGCCCCGTTTGAGCCCGACTTGAGCCCCGACTCGAGCCCCGACTGAGCCCCGATGGCCAGAGCCCCGACCTGAGCCCGGTTCGAGCCCCGACCTGAGCCCCGTTTGAGCCCCGCTTGAGCCCCACGCCAAAAAACTTCCATTTTTGAACTTTTTTAGTGAAGATATTGCAACTTTTTGGCGGGGGGCTCAAATGGGGCTCAAACGGGGCTCAGGTCGGGGCTCGAACCGGGCTCAGGTCGGGGCTCTGGCCATCGGGGCTCAGTCGGGGCTCAAGTCGGGGCTCGAGTCGGGCTCGGCCGGGGCTCTGCCGGGGCTCAGGTCATCGGGGCTCAATCGGGACGGGGCTCATGTCGACCCTGCCCTGCTGCCAAACTCATTCGATGAAATTAAGCGTGGCCCGGCTTGGCCACACGCAGAGGTACGAAATTGAACCTCGGGGAGGCACTGCGTTGCGGTGACGACGACGACGACGGGCTGGGTGACTCGGAACCAGTGGTCAGCTGGAAGGATCTGGAAGGATCTCGACCGCCCTGTCCGTCCATCCCATCCGACACCACCGCGTGCGTCAGGGTCGCGCCGCGCCGCCTCAGCGCGCCGTTCTGCTTCAAGATGCACTTTTTTCAAAACGGCACGTTCAACTTGCCCAACCCGCTGCCGGCCGGTGTCGCGTTCCACTTTGGGTCGCCACCGCGTCGGTCGGATGTGGGAGCGGTACACTGCCAAACATCACTGGTGAAACTGAAGCCTAGTTTACGTTTCATTCGCGCATCCCCTGAGTGGTCGTGAATGGTAATGCATTTTTACAGCATTTTATGTGCAAAATGCACTTGTAATGCACGTTACGTAGAATTCTAGAGCTCTTTGTGGGGGAGGAGGGTGGTGACAACTGAAAGGAGATGCATAAATTTACAATTATTTATTTATGTTTTTATTATTTACATTCATCTTTCATACAGCTCTAGTTTCTCGATGATATAGTAACTACACGTATTGCACAAGTTGATGCCCAATATGCGAGTAGTGAACCCACGGGACGTCTTCGTGGCCTCACTACTGAACACTCGGGCACACTCTCAAAATTAAATGTCGTGGCACGATCAAAACAGGAAATGCCGCATAATTGAAAACCGATTAGATAAAGGTGGTCGAACGAAATTTTGCGCACAATGAGTGTTTTCTCTGTGCTTCTGGATACAGAAAATTCCAGCACAATCACACTTTCTCACATAGTAGGCGCTGTGCCTCTTGGCAAGATTCAATTTCGAGCTCTCGTCACGTTCGAGAGTGACTGCATGGCCCCTTCGCTGCGAGCCTCCCTACACAACATAAACCTACTCGACGCCCGCAAATGAGCAAATAAAAACGTCGACAAAATTAAGCTTAGAAAATGTACAAAATTGGTAAGTGGGCTGCTAATGAGGCGGTACGACAATGATGAGGATGGCATGGCCATGGCGTGGCGCTGCAGCGCATGGGCTGGGAATGCCGGCAGTCGCCCCTATCACCTTTATGACATGAGGATTACACGGATGGGCGACATGATCAAAGATATTGGCGGGCGAGATAGCGAGCAAATGTCGTTTAAACGCATCGTACCGTTACTAGTGAAAATGACATGACTATTTCTACACTCTGGAGGGGGGGGGGAATAAATTCTAGTTTACAATTACCATTAATGTAAATCGGATGTGCTGTCGTAGACAGTGTCTACACGGACGCACGGCGCGGCCTCACACGCGAGTCATTCACTTAATCTATTATTTACAGGCTGAATCGCACTCGGTAGAAAAATCACATTGTCTAAATTTTGAAAAAATAAAAGTGAAAAAGGAATGGTTTGAAAGTAGTTTTTAACAAAATGGACTTGAAAAATAATCTAACAACATGACGCGTTGTTTTCCTTTTTTCGCTAGTTCTCAGAATACAACAGACGTTGTACGGGGGCAGTTGTTGCACTGAGTGGCTCTTATGGTGGCCACTCAGGGAGGGCCTGCCGCCGTGCCGTGTCGTGCCGTGTCGTGCCGTGTCGTGCCGTGCCGCCGCCCGGCAGAGGCGCGTGTCCGATAGCAACTCTCCTGCCTCCTGCTGGGACGCCGCAGGACGCCAGGCACGACACTCCGGCAGGGGCAGGGCGCCGCGGCACCACCTCTCGGCTTTTATCTTATACGAATAAAATCACAGTGCTCCTTCGCCGTCACCAGATAAAGCCCGTCGCCGCAGGCTCGAGGCTTTCATCGGTGGCGAGCGCTTTTAAAGTTAATTTCAGTTGGTTTTGTACTGGCGCGCTTGGAAGTCTTTGCTGGTGCGTTCAGCCGGAGGCGCCGCCGATCAGGCCGAAGAGTTTCCGGAACAGGAGGAACTTGACCTGGAACCAGAGAGGAGTCGACGTGAGCTTCCGCGGGCCGGAGTACCCGGACACGGCACAACGCACAGTGGGTCGGAAGGCCGTCCGGCTCTGGCGGCCAAAATCAATAGTATCGCCAATAAGGGCTTAAACGGAACTGGCGACCCCATCAATAGATTCCTGGATCCGAGAGCAATCCCATGGTGGGGTCACACGATCGGTTCGAGTCCCATTTAGCGACTCTGGAGCTCAAAACGCACCTAGAGTTTTGGCCGCACTCTTCGCCCTTGGACGCCGTGGCTACTTACCCTGAGCAGCAGGCCCACCCCGTCCGTGAGGATCCTCAGCTTCTCGTTCAGGAGGTTGCCGTTGCCGCCGCCTCCGCTGACGCTGCCGCCGCCGCCGCTGTTGGATATCCCGAGGATGGAGGAGAGGTCGGAACCTCCGCCGCCGGAGCTGGCGCCGGCTCCTGCGTCACCCTGCAGGACGACAAGGATGGTCAGGCATCGGCGCCCGGGCCGGGCGAGGCGCGCGTCGACGGCCGCCAGGAGTGACGCCACGGCCGAGCGGCCCCTTGACTTGGCTGGCAGCCGCGGGGACTCTACTCATGAGAGAAGGGCGCCCGAAGGTAGGCCACCCACCGCGCGGTCGCGCCGCATTGGCTGCCGCATTGGCTACCATTACCATTAAGGGCTAGACCACACATGATCGTATGCCATTTCAGGCCCGACACATGCCCGCCTGCACTGCAAAACGAGACATGGCCGTCCTTACTAAGGTGACACTTTATCCCGGCGGAGAAGAACCACAGCCAGTCTATTGCTATTGCTGGCGGCAGAGCCCCGTTTTGGCGGGAGTTTTTCTCGCTCAATGGCCGCACGGCCGCTGGCCTTGTGCGCCCCGATAACACTTCACTCACCTGAATCCCCACGACAAGAGCTAGAGGAGAAAGTCACAGACGCAAGCACTCAAGAACCACGCCGACAAACACACAAGCCGGTTCGCACTGGATTCACACGGGAAGCCCGCCAGCCTGAGAGTGGGACGAGCATGCTCTTGCGAACGGCACACACACGCCACTGGAAGGGTGCGTTCTGAGGGTTGATTTCGAACAGCGCTTTCGTCGCCTTGTCTCTCGCACTCCTGGAGCGTCTCCTCGGGGCGCGAAAGAGAGAGGGAGCCACGAAAGCACCGTTCTGGGAAGCAGCCCTCTGGTTTCCGGTCTCGCGAGAAGCATGCCGCGCGGTGTCCCGCTCTCGGGCCGGCGGGCGCTTTGTTGACGCAGACTCACCCAATCGACCCTCCTAGACTCACCCCGCCGCCGGCGCCGCCGCCGCTGCTGGAGCCCAAGAGGGGCGTGACCAGCCCCAGGATGGAGCCGGAGTCGCTGCCGCCGCCCGCGCTGGCGCCGCCGTCGCCGCTGCCCTCACCGCCGCCGCCGCCGCCCTGCGCCAACGGCCACACGTGTCATCGACCGCCGGAAGGTGAAGCGTCAAGTCCGGCTTTTGCGCGACTTTGCTTTGCGTGGTTCTATTTATGTACAGTGCACCGTCGGTCAACCAATACGCGCGCGGAACAGCCGCTCCGCGTGGAGTTCATATTGCTGCCACGTTCACAGGTATGTACAGATTACTTTGATCGCATTGGCGTTGTCGATTTGTTGGCAAATTTACATCGCGGCTTTAGGCACTTGGTACACAATTCACTGTTGAAAATAAAATAATTTTGGAAATTTTCGGAGATTTTGCAGGGAACGAAAATTGCTTCTGGTCTTTGGAAAATTCCGAAACCGCTTACGTTTCTATTTTGAACGAGTTTCCTGCAGGTGCAGTGCAAAAAATATCTCGAAACGCGAAGCCTCAGGAAATTCCCGAAGAAGCAATGGAACGTACTTCCAGGATTTTCCAATTTATTTTTAAAAGTGAATTGTTGTCAAGAGAAATAAACAGTTATAGTCAAAGACAATACAATAATTGTTGTCAAAGGAGGTAAACCTTAATAGGGGCATTAGTCCATCACCGATTACTTGGAAGCTTCATTATGTACAGGCAAACCATGGGTTAGGAAAAAATATGTACAGCTAAATTATGTTTTGGGGACATAACTGAGTGTTAGTAGGAAATTTTTCAAACCATGCCTTTTTGTCGACTGTTAGCAACGACCGGGAATTGTTAGTAATCCGACAGCACCAGTTAGCGCAGTCATTCTGACTTATTGATCACCGACTCGGGCCAGTGGATCAATACAACTTACCGACAGCTTCACTCAAACCATTCATAATCTGTATCAAAATAAAACACTCGAATTTTTTAAACGCTGAAAATGCACGGGTAATCGGAACAAAATCATAGCTGATGCTAATGGCAAAAACAAAGATGAGATGACGTTTGATGAACACTCGGTGCTTACGGATGGTCCCCCTGGCCCGAAGAGCCCCGTGGACACCCCGGCCAGGACCTCCACGAGGGGGGTGATGGCCTGCAGCACGGCCCCCACGTTGCTGCCGCCCCCGCCCCCTCCCTCGCCCTCCGCGTCCTCGTCTTCATCCTGGCAAAAGACGATTGAAAATATAGTTAAACTGTGCACACCTGTTTTACAGTGCTCACTCCGTTGAAAGTGCTCACCCCTCCCGAAATTCCCTCGAGCAGCGGTTCCGCCAGCTGCAACAGCGTCCCGATCTCCAGGGGCTCCTCTCCGGGCTCTCCCCGCTGCAAACACCGCACACCGTGCCATTAGATTCGCGTCAGTTTCCTTAAAAACCGAAGAGGTTGCGAGTGATTCTCGTGGTTACCTACCCCTGACAAGCTCCCTAGCACCTGAGGCAGCAGTGCCAGGGCGGCGGATAGATCTGGGGGCTCTCGGTTTCCCTGAGGAGGAACAAGGTTCGAGGTTCATTCAATTTCATTTTTTTTTTCCGTCGGGATGGCGGGATCGGATGGTCCACTCACAATGCCACTGAGCGAGCCGATGATGGGGAGCACCGTACCTAGCACGGCCTGCAGGTCGCTGCCTCCGCCGCCGCCCTCCTCACCGTCCTCAGAGCCCTGGGCAGCGAACAAGAAAGGTTTCAACGGAACGAAATTTCAAATTTACCGCTGAATGACTTTGGTGGAACAGGGCTCACCTCCGTGGCGCCGCGGGCTCCACCGCCCTCCGCTCCGCCGCCACTGCTAGAGCCCACCAGGGTGCCGATGAGGCTGACGATGGAGCCGGAACCGTCGCCCTGAAAGATGAGAAATTGTTTGCTTTTATGGTTCAAGTGCGTTTCCTTTTGAATTTTTTGAGTGAGATCAGTGCTGTGCGGTACTCACGTTGGGGCCGTTGGGGCCACTGCTGGAGCCCAGGAGCGGCCCGATGAGGCCGAGGATGGAGCCGGACCCCGAACCGCCGCCGCCCTCGCCCATCTGGAACGAGTGGAACGGGACGAGGGGGTTAGACAGGGTGCATCGTTGGTGCCGACAGTGGGCCAGAAGGCGGCGCCGGTGACTAAAACTCTAGACGCGTTTCGAGCTACAGATTCGCTAAACAGGACTCGAACCGAACGTGTGACCCCGCCAATGGATGCCTCGTTCAGAGAGCAATCCGTCGGTGGGGTCGCACGTTCGGTTCGAGTCCCATTTAGCGACTTTGGAGCTCAACGCCTCGCGCTGTAGTCTCCCTTACCATGGGCCCGCTGCTCGATCCCAGCAGGGGCGTCAGCAGCCCCAGGATGGAGCCAGAGTTGCTGCCGCCGCCGCCGCCACCCTCAGCCATCTGCAACGAGGGAAAACGTTTTTACATGAGGGCTGACAAAAATACACGCACCGGGAGGTGTCGGGTACACCTCTGTTGTGAACTCACCCCGGATCCGCTGCTGGACCCCAGCAGGGGCATCAGCAGCCCCAGGATGGAGCCAGAGTTGCTGCCACCGCCTCCGCCGCCACCCTTCTCACCTCCCTGCCACAAACAGAAACGGTTGCAATTGGCGGACTGCAGACTGACTCCAAGAGTCGTTTTCTTCGCTCTATCTCTCTCGCACCTGTACGGGACGCCCCATGAGTGCGAGAGAGGCAGAACGATGAAAACGACTTTTTGAATCAGCCTGCAGGGGAAGGTTAGGTTAGGCGCGTCGCTGCACATGACACGGAACGTACCCCGCCACTGCTGGAGCCGCTGCTGGACGACAAGAGGGGCAGCAGCGAGGACAGCAGCGGGCCGACGAGGTTCAGGATGGCGCCCGAGTTGCTGCCGCCGGCGCCGCCCTGCCAACCATCCACTTCCGGTCAGAAGACGAAAAGGGCGCGAAGCGTTCGCAGTGTACGAGACTGGCTACCGACCCCTCCGCCCTGCTGCATGTGGGGCGCCGCGAACGGGATGGGCTGCAGGCGGTCCGGCACGCCGGGGACGCGCTCCACCTGCTGCGGCTGCGCCTGCCTGCGCGTCCTGGCGCCGCCCTGCAAAACGCTCAAGGACACGTTTAGAGGGGAAGGACACGCTGCGCGTGGCGCGGCCAGCACACACCGGGTTAGGTTAGCGTCACTGCGGCGTTAGTGTCCATGCGCATGCGCGGGGGGCCGTGGACGGCCGTGGCCTCGCACTCACTGAGCTGGAGCCGAGCAGCGGCGTCACCAGGCTGAGGATGGACCCGGAGTCACTGCCCGCCGACGCGGACGCGGACGCGCCGCCGCTGGGGGCGCCGCCGACGGCCTCGTTGGCGCTGTCGCTAGTGCTGGGCGCGTCGTCGTAGCCCTGCGAGTGGGGTGGGGTGTGACGCCGGGATCACGTATCGAAAGCACCCCCACACGATGCACAGTGGGCCAGAAGACCAGCGCAGGTGGCCGAAACTCGGGACGCGCTTTGAGCAGCTCCAGAGTCGCTAGGACAGGACTCAAATGGAGCGTGTGACCCCACCAATGGATTCCTCGTTCGGAGAGCAATCCATTGGTGGGGTCACACGCTCGGTTCGTGTCCCATTTAGCGACTCTGGAGCTCGAAACGCGTCCAGAGTTTTGGCCGCCTCCACCGGTCTTCTGGCCCACTGTGCCATGTCGCGCCATAGCGATACTCACGTTCCCGCTGCTCGTTCCCAGGAGCGGCGTCACCAGGCTCAGGATGGAGCCCGAGTCGCTGCCGGCGCCGCCGGAGCCACCCTCGGAATCGCCGCCACCGCCTCCCTGAAGACCGCGAAGAGAGTCACTACGCGCTCCACGAGGATAACAAACACTTGCAGTGCAGGCTCACTCCCAGAGGGGGCCTGTCCCCATCGCCCTCATGGGTACCCTCGTATGGGTGTGAGAAAGACAGAACGACGAGACCTCCCCATCAGAATCAGCCTGCAGGAGAGAATGAACTCACGTTGAGGGAACCGCTGCTGGAGCCAAGCACGGGGGTGATGAGGCTGAGGATGGAGCCGGAGTCACTGCCCGGGGGAGTGCCGTTCTCGAGCTCCTGGAACAGGGAAAGGCCAAGTCCGTCAGGCAGCCGCCTCGCCTCGCGCCTCGGAGCAGGCAACCCATTCGACGCGACGTCGCCCCAGTGCTAGTGCACAGTGGGCCAGAAGACCGATGGAGGCGGCCGAAGTCCTAGTCGCGTTTTGAGCTCCAGAGTCGCTAAATGGGACGCAAGCCAAACCTGTGAACCCACCAATGGATTGCCCTCGGAACGAGGAATTCATTGGTAGGGTCGCAAGTTCGGTTATAGTTCAGTTTAGTGACTCTGGAGCTCAAAACGCGTCTAGTATTTCGGCCGCCTCCACCGGTCTTCTGGCCCACAGTGCAGTGTCAGGCCGGCAGACCGACTAGCAGCACGCCGTCGTCGCCAACGCCACAATAAGTAAGCTTACGCGACGCACCCGTCGAGAGGGTGGCCAACCCCTGCCTTGCCTAAGGCATTTCACAGAGAACAGAGCTCAGATGGCTAGATGGCAGATTGTCTAGTAAGCCGGCGGAGGTCGGACACCCATCCGTACGAATTGTTGCCTACTTATGTGGCAACACTGCCGCGAGGCGCTCGTCTGCCAGGTTGACGCGGACGTGTCTGATTGACAGGCGTGATGACGCGCGGCGAAGTCAATGGCGGAAGACGATGGCGGCGCGCGCATTGATTAGCGCCCCACGGTTCGCCCGGCGGGGCGTCCATGGCGAGCATGGCGTCCATGGCGTCCATGGCGTGCATCGCGTCCATGGCGTCCATGGCGTGCATCGCGTCCATGGCGTGCATGGCGTGCATGGCGTCCATGGCGTGCCGTCCATGGCGTCCACTCCACGGGGTCCAAGGCGTCCAAGGCGTGCATGGCGTGCATGGCGTGCATGGCGTCCGTGGCGTGCCGTCCATGGCGTCCACGGCGTCCACGGCGTCCATGGCGTCCGTGGCGTCCGTGGCGTCCGTGGCGTCCATGGCGTGCACGGCGTGTCCATGGCGTCCATGGCGTCCATGGCGTCCGTGGCGTCCATGGCGTGCACGGCGTGTCCATGGCGTCCATGGCGCGGGAGGTTAATTTCCTAACAGTGCTCTGCTGTCTCTCTCGCACTCTTGAAGCGTTCCGCCGGATGGGCGAGAAAAATGTAAATGCTCGACTTTAGGCATAGAGAGACTAAACTTTGTGCGAGTGTAAACTCAGAGCAGGGATCCTTAACTTACCTCATAAGGGCATCATAACGTTATCATAAGCGTTAAAGTTATTACCCTTAACTTCTAACATCTTTTCAAAAGGGTAGGTTATTTTTTTATGTCTCGAATTTGTGTGGATATACTTTTGCAAGTACTTTCATAAGTCCGTACCCTTAACCTTTAGCGAACATTGTCTTATGTTACGTTATGAAAGTAGTGTTAGTTAAATGTTAAGTTAAGTTAAGGATCCCTGACTCAGAGTGAGTCTTCTGGCGGGAAGAAAGGCTGTTGGCTGCCTCTGGCTGCCTCTGGCTGCCTTTGGCGCGGACGGCCGCCTCCACTCCAACGCCGCGACCCCCACCGATCATGAGGCATGCTGGTCGCGTACCGCGTACCACCGAGCGGTCGCCGAGAGGTCGCGTGCCACCCTCTCTCTCGCTGACACTCTCAGTCTCTCACTCCTAAAAAAACACAGTAGGCCAGGAGACCGATGGAGGCGGTCAAAATCCCGGACGCGTTTTGAGCTCCAGAGTCACTGAATGGGGCTCGAACCGAATGAGTGACCGCACCAATGGATTGCTCTACGAACGAGGAATCCATTGGTGGGGTCATACGTTCGGTTCGAGTCCTGTTCAGCGACCCTGGAGCTCTCAAAACCCATCTACACTTTTGGCCGCCTGCGCCGTTCTTCTGGTCCACTGTGCGACGCGCCTGCATAGTGGCTACCCTTCTGGCCTCAGGTACTCACGTCCGCGGGGTCGCCGCCGCCGCCGCCTCCGCTGATGCCCGTGATGGCGCCGAAGCCGCCGCTGGAGCTGAGCAGGGAGGACAGGATGCCGCCGCCACCGCCGCCGCCGTTGTTGTTGAAGGCGTTAGCGCCGCCGCCGATGTAGGCGCTGTAGGTCGGCCCGCGGTTCACGGGGCCCTGCAAGGCATCATCGGCGAGCATAAGCACAAAGACTAGCGCGGGTAAGACTGAAGCGCGGTGTAGGCTTCATTCAAGCGTGCAACTACGCTCGAAGACTTAACGCTTGAAGCCAAGCGTGGAGAAGAAATTCTCCCATGGGTCGACCGGAGAGGAGCCGGACGGAGGACCACGCTTGAAGCCAAGCGTGGCAACCACTACGCTTGAAGAAATGCGTAAAAGGACGCTTCATTTCTACACAGTGGATTTGCCAGAAGACCGGTGGAGGCGGTCGAAGTCCCGGGTGCGTTTTGAGCTCCAGATTCGCTAAATGGAACTCGATCCAAACGTGTGACCCCGCCAATGGATTGCTCTCCAAACGAAGAATCCATTGGTGGGGTCACACGCTCGGTGCTAGTCCTGTTTAGCGACTCTGGAGCTCAAAACGCGTCTAGAGTTTTGGCCGCCGGTGCCGGTCTTCTGGTCCACTGTGCAGCGAGTCACGTTCGCGAAGGAACTTGGCCGCTCTCACGAGCCACTGCGTGTACTCACCGATCCGCCCAGCAGCGAGGTGATGAGCCCCAGCGCGCGCTTGTCCCTGCGCACGTACTGGTCCAGCCTCTGCAGCTCCTGGGGGTGGCCGCGCGCCGCGCGCGCCGCCTTCAGGATCTCGTCCTCCAGCTGCTGCTCCACGCGCACGGCTTGCACCGCGCCGCGGATGCCCTGGTCGTGCGCCACGTCCACGATCAGTTGCTGCAAACGGAAAGAGAATGAGCACACACTGTAAAAAAAGCTCTTCGGAAAATTTTCATACTGCAGTGAAAACTACAAAACAGGTCCGGTCCATGTGTAATAAAGTGTCCCGCACGGTATAAACGGCTTCTGGTTTTCCCAGCCCTGGAAATGACCAATGTCTCTGTCATAGGCTGCCTGGCAAATCCGGGTACCGTTTTTACCGTGCAGTTTGATTCCGAACAGTCGCGGGAACTCTCCGAGTGCGAGAGAGACAGAGCGACCGTTCGGAATGACCGTGCGGCGCGCTGCCGGATTAGCGGCCGAGGCTAAAAGCCAGAGCGTTTGCCCGCGAATTTCGAAACGGACCACGGGCGGGTCTCTCTGTTAGCGAAAACAGTGCGAAGGTTGGCGTGCTCTACGCGTGCGGTCAGCCGCAGTCCGTCCGCCTCGCCTCGCCTGTCCTCGTGCGTGGCTGGCTGGCGTGGCGCACGCACGTCCTTCCCGCCCCCCCCCCCCCTCCCCCAAACGGAGTGACAGCTTTATGGCTACGCATCGCCCTGCGCCCTGGGAGTGCACGGCACGGCACGGCACGGCACGGCACGGCACGGCACGGCACGGCACGGCACGGCACGGCACGGCACGGCACGGCACGGCACGGCACGGCACGGCACGGCACGGCACGGCACGGCACGGCACGGCACGGCACGGCACGGCACGGCACGGCACGGCACGGCACGGCACGGCACGGCACGGCACGGCACGGCACGGCACGGCACGGCACGGCACGGCACGGCCGCTGCGGAGCCTCGCCCCCGCCCCCTGCAGGGAGTCCCCGAAGCCCCCGCAGTCGGACCGTCAATGACTGGAGCTGGCCGAGCCGGGCCGGACCAGCGGCGAGCCGCCTGGACCCGCCTGGACCGGTCCGCGCGTGTCCGTGTGTGTGCGTGTTGTGTGTGCGTGCGTGTGGCCGCGCTAGCACGTGTGCAAACGTCCAAAGCAGCAGCCGTGAGCCGTCGGATAATGAGGAAAGTGCGGCGCCGTTTCTGCCGAACGACATTTCTCTCCCGCGGATTACACAGCGCCGTGCTGCGAATAACGGAATGACGCCGCCGTGCCGCCCCGTTGGGCAACGCTAGCAACGCGCAGCGCCGCGGCGTGCTGTGCGTTTTCTGTGCTCGATTTGCGTTGCTTATTTGCTTTGCCGGCGTTTGCTGGCCGCGGGCGGGGCGCTCCGTGCGCAGAGTGCCGCCAGTTTTGACGCACTTCGACGGTCCTTGGGTGCAATGTGAATGTGAATGTGCACTTTGCGCGCTGCTCCGCTGCTTTCCCCCTGTCCCGCAGGCTTGGCCTGGGTTGGCCACGCCTTATCTGAATCTGGATCCGAATGCGGACCAAGGTCGCCGCCGCAAGTTGGCAGGCCCTCTCTGACGCACGCCACGCCGGCCGGGCCGCTGGCCTGCTGGCCCGGCGGGCCGAGCGGGATCGGGAGCACTGGGCTGCAGTGGGCAGCACGTGGGGCGGGAAGGGAAGGGAGAACCAGTCGCCGGCCGGTTGTTCGGTTGTCCGTCTCGGCCAAGCTCGGCCAGGCTCGGCTCGTTCGGTCAATAGCCAAGGTTAGTGCAGCGGGCCGAGACTGGACCAGTCCGGCAGGGCCAGGACTGCACTCCGCGGCCCGCTTATGTAAGGGGGTGAGGGGCCCGCCGGGCCGCGCCCAGCGCGTACAGCAGGCAGGCCCGCGCGACGCCCGTGCTCGACGGGACTGCATCCTGGCCGCCTGGCACGGTAGGCAGGCCCGCGCGACGCCGGTGCTCGACGGGCTGCATCCACAGCCCTTGCCGGCCATCGCCGCCGAGAGGGTCGCTGACCGGCACTGAGTCAGTGGCCGCTAGGCATGCCGATGTGGAAATCGGAGCGCGCGCTCGACTAAAATGTGATTTCTGTCCTCGGCGAGCCAGAGTGGTTCGCATCCGTCTCCGTCCTGGCTGTCCGCTGACCTTGATGAGGGCGTCCCGGGCCTGCTGCAGCCGCAGCTCCGCCTGGTCCAGCTGCACCTGCGCGAGCCTGGACTGCTCCCTGGCCTCTTGCACGCGCTTGGACGTGGCCGACGTGGACGACGTGGATGACGTGGACGACGTGGCCGACGTGGAGGGCACGGGGACGGCCTGCGCCAACTGCAGCACCGCCGCGGCCAGGGCCAGCGCCCCTAACCACGCGCCCGCCATAGATCTCCTGCTGCGCAAACAAAACAACAAAACAAAAACATTAGACAGTTTGACAGAAACGCTGTTCAAATGTGATTTTCTGCTCTAGGACGTGACCTGGCCCTGTGGGTAGGGCGACGCTGCCTAGATCACGTAGGCACCCTTTTCCCAGTGTCCGGCAGTCCAGACGGAACGCGAGCCCCATTCCCACGGCTGGGTGGGGTCACCGCCACCGCAGTGGTGCCCAGGAGGTGTCATCACTCTGGTCACGCTGTGGGCAAGGTGCCGGTGGTCCAGGACACTGCCAGAACACGGCCAGGACACAGCCAGGACGCGGTCAGGACACGGCCAGGACCCTCAGCAGGAAGCACGCTGTTCACGGGCATTTTACCGGCCGACCTGTTTTTAGCTGATACCTAGTTCTCAAAGTCTTTTGTTTTTCTTTTGCCGGTGTAGGCCTGCTTATTTGCGTCCCGGCCGCCGCACGCGCTGCTGGCGGTGAGGCGGTGAGGCGGTGAGGCGGTGAGGCGGTGAGGCGGTGAGGCGGTGAGGCGGTGAGGCGGTGAGGCGGTGAGGCGGTGAGGCGGTGAGGCGGTGAGGCGGTGAGGCGGTGAGGCGGTGAGGCGGTGAGGCGGTGAGGCGGTGAGGCGGTGAGGCGGTGAGGCGGTGAGGCGGTGAGGCGGTGAGGCGGTGAGGCGGTGAGGCGGTGAGGCGGTGAGGCGGTGAGGCGGTGAGGCGGTGAGGCGGTGAGGCGGTGAGGCGGTGAGGCGGTGAGGCGGTGAGGCGGTGAGGCGGTGAGGCGGCGAGGTACCCGGCTGAGCCCGTGCGTTAGCGTTAGCGCAGCCCTTGACTGATGGAGCGGGCGGGGCGCCGCCGCCGGGCACCGGGCCGGCTGGATGGATGCGCCGGTAAAAAGTGACAAGTGTTGTAAGATTTGTTGCTCGCTGTCGCGCGCGCGTGTGTATGTGTGCATTGTATGCGTGTGTGCCCCGAGAATGTGTGCGTGTGTGTATGTGTGTGCGTGGAGGGGCCGCCGGCCGCCTGCCACAGGTACTGAGCGAGCAAAGACCCAGCCAGTGGCCCGGTCTACTGAGTGTTCAAGGCAAACCCCACAATGAAACGGCGAACGGTAACGAAGCCCGCCCGGCTGCTACGCGCTGCTGCGGGATGTCGCGAGGCGTTGTGAGCAGTCAGGGGCCAGAGGGTAGTGTGACAGGGCCCCGGCGGTCTGTGTGCGACCTGCACGCTGATTCCAAGAGTCCTCGGTCTCTCTCGCACTCAAGGGGCGTCCCCTGTGCGTGCGAGAGAGACAGAGCGACGAAAGTCTACTGCTCGACGACATGCACGGCCTGCTGCTGGCGCCTGCGTGGTCGCCGCCGCCGGGTGGCTCGCTGTCAAGGACCCTGCCGCGCCAAACGCGCCAAACAGGTAGCGGCCTGGACATTAGCGACTCCCTGCGAGAGGAAAGGCTGCATTCGGCGCTCCGTCTCCCTCACGCCCCTGCGGAGCGCCTCGCGAGAGAGACGGAGCGACGAAAGAGCCGTTCGATGTCAGATCGACGCCGAATGCCACCGTCCCCATGGGCGGCCTGGAGTACGCAGGGCAGGGCTGCCCGGGGCGAGCGGCTAGGAAAAGCAATCGCCCAAAGAGACATTGCTTAGGAATGATCATTAGTCTCGATAAGAAAAAGAAAATGTCGACACATGTGCCATGTTCGGATGGGAAAAAGTTGCCCTATGAAGCGATGACAATTTGGTCAACTTTGCCAATTCGCCTAAGCCCAAACCCCTTGGAGACAAAGCAAGGATTCCAAGGCGGCACACCGCGCATGCGCACGCGTCGAGCCCAGGTCCGCCGCCTTTTTTCCGGAATGACAAAGCAGGGTTCCTGTGTTGTTTTTGCGGCCCGCGGCGTAATGCCTGCCAAGTTTCACAAGGCGGGGATGGGATGCGCACTGCATGGCCACAGCCTATGGCCACAGCCTATGGCCACAGCCTATGGCCACAGCCTACACTGAAAAAAAAGTGTAGTTAAATTTACCACACTGATCCTAGTTAAACGAGCATTAGTTGATATGACTAGAATTCTAGTTATTTTCACTAGATTTTTAGTTACATCTACCAGTATGGGTGTGGTAACATTTACCAGCCATCTAGTTAAAAATTCTGGTAAATTTTACTAAACTGTGTTGTAATTGTCTCCACACTTAAAATCCTGTTAAACTGGATAATTTTGTAACGTACTGCATCCACACAGTCCCCAGCAACCTTCAAAGTTCCGCTTTGAGCCGAAAATCCCTCCTTAATCATAGCGTGAGATGAGCGGCCGGACGACGCGCAGAGTCCTCAGGTGACGGCGCCGTGTCCCCACATGTGGCGTGATAGCGCAGTGGTAACGAGCTGGGCTCGTGTGAAGAAGGTTCGGAGTTCGACTCCGGGCAGGGCTGAGGCGATAAACGATCGCGACTCAAAGATGCGTGATGCTTACAAGTTAACTTAAACATCATCTTCATTTTCACATTTTCTTTCTCTTGTTCTTCTTTATTTAGGCTATATTTTAACTAAAAAATTTAGTTATTTTTACCACACGAGGGGGCTGGCAGCATTGTGAGGATAACCAGAATTCTGGTAATTTTTACCAGATGGACGCTAACTAGGCAGTGTGGTATTTGTTACTAGAATTCTAGTTGGTTCCTATTTTACTACACATTCTGGTAAATGGCACTAAAATTCTGGTTGACCTAACTAAACTTTTTTTTCAGTGTATGGCCACAGCCTATGGCCACAGCCTATGGCCACAGCCTATGGCCACAGCCTATGGCCACAGCCTATGGCCACAGCCTATGGCCACAGCCTATGGCCACAGCCTATGGCCACAGCCTATGGCCACAGCCTATGGCCACAGCCTATGGCCACAGCCTATGGCCACAGCCTATGGCCACAGCCTATGGCCACGGCCCGGCTCCAGGACAACACTGAGCCGAGCTGCTACACGGCAGGGAATAACACAATTAAAACGGATCGGCCCGTTAATTATGCGAAAGTGGGGTGCCAACACACTGCAAATAAAAAAGTGAGAAAACGGGACTCGCCCGCCAGGTTGATGAATGCCTCATTCGAGGCAAAAGCGCAAGGTCGACGCCTGTCCGGTCCGACCTGACGGCGGCCAGCCGGGCGAGGGCGCTCGCATCTCATCACTGCATCTCATCAAGCTCAGCGGACAGCCAGCTGACGCGGACACTCAAACACGAGGACGAAACAACCGGCAGTCGAGCTGAACATCGATCCTGGACCAGCTGGGGTTCTCTTTGAAAAGAGGCTGGCTGCCCATCGATGTTGGACGACTTCGGCCAGTCTAACACGAAGAATGGGCCGAACAGCGATTCATTGCGACCTCAAATTAACTTCCAGATGTCACCAATGCATCCACGTACACCTTTGGCTCGAAATCAGGAGCCATGCGAACCGCACGAGTGAGCCAGAAGACCAGTGGAGGCGGTCAAAACCCCAGACGCGTCTTGAGCTCCACGCTCCACAGTCGCTTTAGAGAACTCGAAGCAGAGTTACCCCACCAATTTATTCCTCGTTCGGAGAGCAATCCATTAGTGGGGTCACACGCTCGGTTTGGTTTTTCCCCCCTTAGCGACTCTGGAGCTCAAAAAGCGTCCGGTATTTTGACTCCCTCCACCGGTCTTCTGGCCGCCCGCTGTAAGCCGCACGGCGCCCGCCTGGTTCACGTGATCAACAATCCAAGCTAGCATTCGTCCTGTCGCGTTTTTAAGGCTAGGCGCACCGAAGCTTCACAGCTTTGCATATCAGGCAGGCCCCTCATGATTGGGAGCGCAGCCGCCGCGTCTGCCGGCGACCGTGGCGCCGCCTGGCGGCCCCTCAGTGCCACTCAGCCAGGCGCGGTGATGTAACGGCGCGGCGTTGACTTAGGTCAGGAGCTGGACGAGGAGGCGTCCCCGGCTTGGGCCGCTTGGGCGTGGCGGCGCGGCGTGGCGCGGGGAAAGAGAGGAGTCCAAGAGCGCGCCGAAGCGAGCCTTGCCAAGGCGCGGGGCCTGGAGGCCGCACGGCGCCGCACGGCATGGCCGCCACCGCGCACGCGCACGCACGTCGGGGTGCCCATGAGTGCCACGGCGCTTCTCCGCCACCACCACGCTGCGCCACGCCTCATGACTCACGGCTCTCTTCTTTCCGGCTGTCGGCCTTTAACCGCTTCGGATTACACGATTGGCGTTTGCATGGAGCGAGCCCGGGCCGGGCCGGGATGGCTGGGTATCTTTCTCTCAGCAAAGTCCCTCTCATTCAGGCGGGTATCCAAGGGGTGAGTCGCCCATGACAAAGGGCCTCGGAGAGCTGCCGCAGGGGACAGAGCTGTCTACACTCGAAAAAAGGAGTCACTCCTTTTGCCTACTTACAGGTGGGTTGTAAGTCGAATGGCCTTCCCACCAGGCGTTTTATTAGGATCAAAAGGAGGAGGTTATGACCCTCCCCCCCCCCCCCACGATACGGGCATGGCGGGGGTCGGACCTCTCTCTCGCACGCACGCACTCCTCTCAGCGCCGTCTTTCTCCCTAGCCAGGCCGGGCCGATTGGCCGATCGGGCCGCGGGCTGTGTCTCTGAGACCCCTGGGCCCTGCCTGGGTCACGGCGGTCCCCCCCATACGCGCCCGGACGGTTTGGGGCCGTTCGGACTCGTTTTTCGTCGGTTTTTGACTGCCCTTGGAGGCCAGCCTTGCAGTCCCTCGCTCGCCTTGAGGTCCGGCGCGACACGGTACGGCACGGCGTGGCACGCCACGCCACGGTTTGGGCAACGACGTCGTCGCGCTGTACACCGCAATTAAGGAGGAGTGCCATGCGTGCCTTTCGCTTCGACTCGGCGACGCTCGGCGACCCGCTGGCGCGGCTAGCGCGGCTAGCGCACTGGCTGCAGTGTTGCCAATAGAAAAATGACATGCACCCTCGTTAGCCAACTGTAACGGCCAACGGTTGGCGGCGCTGATGAGCGGCTCGGGGGACTGGGGATGGCGACCGTGGACGCGATGATGGGCACTAAGATGCCCGTGCCCGCAGCAGCCCGCAGGGCCGGTCAGTCGGCCAAGGGGAGACTTCGAGCATTCACTTCGGAGGGGTTGGGGTACCGCACTGTTGCTTACACTCTAAATATGGGGTGCCCAGAAACTGGGCGCCTTTGTCGCCCGCCCCACTTTTTAGGGTGCCAAATGTCGCCCAGTTCCTGGGCACCTTTTTCACCCAGTCTCGGGGTGGACAAACCATTAAGAAACCTGCCTTCACCCATGGCTCAGCAGCGACTGAGGTGCCGAAGGTGCCCAAAATCTAGGCACCTTAGTCGCCCAGGATCTAGACACCTGAGCATGCTCTACCATGGGAGAGGGCCGGTTACTGTATGATTTGTCCACCCCTAGACTGGGCGACAAAGGTGCCCAGAAACTGGGCACCCCATATATAGAGTGTAGTTGCAGACCGCTAGGCCGCCGCACTGACCCCGGCAACAGGCACGTGCTTGCGCTAAGTCTCCGGGGGCCGCGAAGCGTCAGGCATCAACGGAGGCCTTCCTCAGTTCCAGAGTCATCCTATCGGCGGCTTGGCGGCTTCCTCCGGTTCCCCGAAAGGCCCCAGGAAGAAAGGCTGCAGCGCGTCGCCGTTTCTTCGTACGTCGAGTCGGAGAGCGCGGCACCAACCATGGCGGCACAATGGTGCGGGCCTCCGTGTTCGCAGTGCGCGGACGACGCTGCGACCGCCGCCACCGTGTAGCGTGCGCCGCGTGCGCCGCCGGATGACAACATGACCGCGTCGCGACCGTCGCGACCGCGTCGTGACATGCCCGCGACGCCTGCCGCTGTGGCGCTGTGGGAAGCCAGGCCAAGCAGGCGAAGCCAGGGCGGGGGCGTGGGTACACTGGTACGGACACCAGGCAGGGCCTGGCAGGGCCTGGCAGGGCAACCCCTGCGCGTACCCACGACGCCGTGCCAGGCGCCGCGGGACCGCGCGTCGCCCAACGTCGCCATGCCAGCGGCGCCCCCACGGAACTCGAGCAGCAGCCTGATTCCGAACATTTCATCGCTCTGTCTCTCTTGCTCCGCACTCCAAGAGGGGCACGGCAGCCATATTTTTGGAGTCGATGCACGCGTTGAACGCTACTACCCCCCCCCCCCCCCCCAACCCCTCCTCTCACACACACGCCCGCACACACACGCACACACGCACACACACACACACGGGCACGCGTGACAGTTGGCCGCGGCCGCTCCTTGAACCGGGGACCGTAGATTTCGAGACAGCGCGGCACAGCGCAGCACACGGGATGCCCGTCGGTGACTCTTCTGCCTGGATTGCAGCAAACGCTTCGCGCACTTAGACTGGCGAGCCCTTCTGCTGCACACACTCACAGGCGCACTCTCTCTCTCTCTCTCTCTCTCTCTCTCTCTCTCTCTCTCTCTCTCTCTCTCTCTCTCTCTCTCTCTCTCTCTCTCACACACACACACACACACACCTATACGTGTTTCCCCTACACACACACACACACACACAAACGCGCGAACAAGCGCCGGGACACACACACGTGGTCGTCACGTGGCGCAAAGGGTCACCATCCGATGGGCGGACTGAGGCTGCCCGCTGGTCTGGCGTCCCCGGCGCCCCCTTGAACCTGCCTTCGGGCGCCTTCGGGCGCCTTCGGGCGCCTTCGGGCGCCTTCGGGTGTCGAATGTCGAAACCCGAAGGCAGCAACGCAAAGGCCGCAAAGGCTCGGCCCGGGCGATCCGGCTGAACCTTTCCACGGAGCGGGCAGCGAGATGCGGGGCTGCGGGGCTGCGGGCGGCGCAGGCATATGGCAAGGCCGACTGGGATTCAGATTCGGATTCACTCGCCTTGGTTCATCATTGTCTCGGCGTCTCGGGGCGGCCAGACCGCAGCCACGACGCAACCCGGCCCGGCGACCCCCAATTCCCACCTCCCAGTTTGGAGGAAAGGAAGAGTGGTGTTGAAATGTCCCTTTCGGGAGGCGCGGGAACGGATGCACAAACGGTTAGTTTGGTCGGATGCATTTTTAGCAGATGATACCTTTGACATTCAATTCAACATACCTGGAAGAGTTCAAACGAGAACAAGACACTGTAAGGTGTCAGCTAGCTTTTTTTGTCGTTATACTTGTTCTATTCACTGAGATTCCAAACGCTATGAGTATAGCACGTATGGTGCAATGCGCTGTGATATCGCACCATACGTGCAATGCCACAGCCATATTGCACCTTTGGTGCAATGCTTCCCGAAAAGGCCCTATGCTAATGCATGGGAATTTGGAGGCATTGCACTTCATGTGCAATGCTTTTGTATTGCACCAATTGACGCTATACTCATAGCGTTTGGATTCTCAGTGTTGGCTTTTTTTGCGAGCATCTAACGGCCGTCTAACATTGTTGACATACTTCGTGATAAGATACTGATGAAAACCATTCATTAAAAACCAATTATAATGACTTATTTTTTCTTATGAACATGTTTTGGATAATTATTTTTGAAGCCCAACGGAAATGGAAACTGATAAAACTTGTCACGCAACCTCTATAAACTTTGTATTGGAAATCCCCTGAAAATGCCCTGAACAATGACGACAGCGTGAGCTAGACAAGAGCTGTCTGTATGATAAAAACACGTGACTACAACCGTTCAGCAGGGGGTCTTTCTCACAAAGAGTGCACTATCCTTAACCGCATCCAGTGGACTGTCGGGCACTCGGATCCCTGTGCGCACTTGCCTTTGCTTCTGGCTGGTGTAGGCGGGGAGCGCGTCGCGCCGCGTCCACTGTTCGATCACTTGGGGCACTACTTGACGGAGTCACTGCTGGCTATGCAATCCACTGCGATGCCGGGGGCTGGACTGTTCACCGGACTGAGACTCGAGCCGAACTGAAAGTCGGCATGAGCCTGGGTGGACAATGCCACCTTGCCATGCCTTGCCGTGCGTGGCTGGGCTGGGCAGGCCGGGCGGGTGGCGTATAGGGGTGGGGCGGGGTGCCAGGGTCAGACGGGCCGGGCCGGGGCCGGGCCGGGGCCCTCGGCGACCTGGCGATGCACGCGGGGATACCGTCAGGACCGCGACGCCGCGATGCAGTCCTGCCCCCCCCCCCCCCCCCCCCCTTCCCCTCCCCCCACCCATGGCGCGGAACGGCGAGGAGCCGACTCGCCGGCGCGGAGCCGCGCGGAGCCAAGCCGGCCCGGCTGGGCTGGCTGGCGGCTGGCTGGCCGGGCCCGGGGGAGGGAGGGATATATCGTAATACCACGTGCAAGTTTGGTAACGCGCGGAGAAAAACGCACGAGAAAGAAGAGCGCGGCAAAGCGACCAAAGCGGCCAAAGCGGAGACACAGGAGGAAAGGACAGAGGGACAGAGACAGAAGAAAGGACGGCGGCGCGACGGCCGAGGACCGACCGAGGGAATGAGGGAATGACAATGAATCCGACAGCACTCAGAAGATCTTCTGGTTCTTCCAGTGGGTCCGCCATCAGACGGTGGATTCCCTATCACACATCCACTGCACAGTGGGCCAGAAGACCGGTGGAGGCGGTCGAAATCCCGGACGCGTTTTCAGCTCCAGAGTCGCTAAATGGGACTCGAGTCGAACGTGTGACCCTGTCGATGGATTTCTCTCCGAACGAGGAATCCATAGAAAGGGTCACACGTTCGGTTCGAGTCCCATTTAGGGACTCTGGAGCTCAAAACGCGATTAGAATTTCGGCCGCTCCCACCTGTCTTTTGGCCCACTGTGCACTGGAATAGAGTAGTGAAATCCGCACCTAAATGCTTAGTGGATTGTTTCGGATTGTTTCCCTGGGCGGGCTGCGCTCAGTGGGCCAGAAGACCGGTGGAAGTGGACAAAACTCTAGACACGTTTTGAGATCCAGAGTCGCTAAACAGGCCTCGAACCGAACGTGTGACCCCGCCAATGGATTCCTCGTTCGGAGGGCAATCCATTGGTGGGGCCACACGTTCGGTTTGAGGCCTGTTTAGCGACTCTGGAGCTCAAAACGCGTCTAGAGTTTTGTCCGCCTCCGGTGGTCTTCTCGCCCACTGTGCTGCGGAGTGATGCATTCTCCTTTACCTGCAAAGGAACAGGATTGGGTACTGGACGAGTCTGGTCAACAACGAGCCTGGACCGTCCGTGGGTTCTTGTTGTGCGTGGGGCTTTGGCCCGCGCTGACTGGAGATTCAGGTAGAATCGTCGGACAATATTAAAGACTGGAAAGAAATGCTGGAACGCAGCGTCCCGCCCTGTCCTCAGGGTTGGAGGTCAAGATGCTCACGGTCTGAGCCGCGGTGACATATCGCTGGCAATAAGCGAAGGTGTTTGGTGTTTGACGACGGGTTTGAATCGCACCAGGCGAGCCGGTTCCAAGATGTAAAGCAGTGTCGGGACTCGAACGCCGGTCCTCAGGGTTGAAGGCCGACGGCGGCCCCTGCTCCCGCACCGCACGCTAGCAACGCTAGATCGTACACTGCCAACCTGCCGCGCGTGCAAGTCTCCCAAGCCTCCCCGCGTCGCCGAACGCCGCTCTAGCCACCCGCTTCAACTACAACGGCACAAACGCCCTTCCTTTGAGAAGAGGACTTTTTCAGCCCTCACTCCAGCCCTCACTAGGGTTTTAAAATTACCGGTAATTTTCAATCTGGACGGTAAATTACGGTAAAATTGGTAATTTACCGTCATTTACGGTAAAAAACGGAAAAAATCGATCTTATGTTTATGTGCACTTTTGCATATGAACAGTAAATTATTTGTTTTCAAAGGGAATTTAAGACTAGCGGAGTGTTTTAAAAGGCATATGAAAGTGGTTGAGGCACTTTTGTTGTCAAATATTCATGCCTTTGTGCACTCTGAGTAAATTTCTGCTGTAAAAACATCAGGAAGGTTAGGTTAAGTTGAAAATTGAGGCACTTTTGTTGTCAAATATTCATGCCTTTGTGCACTCTGAGTAAATTTCTGCTGTAAAAACATCAGGAAGGTTAGGTTAAGTTGAAAATTACCGTAATTTACCGATTTCCGCAGGGTAAATTACCGTAAATTACCGGTATTTTACCCGTTCTTACCGGTAAGTTTACCAGGCTTTAAATCCCTAGCCCTCACTCCAGCCCTCACTCCAGCCCTCACTCCAGCCCTCACTCCAGCCCTCACTCCGGCCCTCACTCCAGCCCTCACTCCAGCCCTCACTCCAGCCCTCACTCCGGCCCTCACTCCAGCCCTCACTCCAGCCCTCACTCCAGCCCTCACTCCGGCCCTCACTCCAGCCCTCACTCCAGCCCTCACTCCAGCCCTCACTCCAGCCCTCACTCCAGCCCTCACTCCAGCCCTCACTCCAGCCCTCACTCCAGCCCTCACTCCAGCCCTCACTCCAGCCCTCACTCCAGCCCTCACTCCAGCCCTCACTCCAGCCCTCACTCCAGCCCTCACTCCAGCCCTCACTCCAGCCCTCACTCCAGCCCTCACTCCAGCCCTCACTCCAGCCCTCACTCCAGCCCTCACTCCAGGCCTCTCCCTCCTCCTCATCTCTTTTACTACCCCCCCCCCCCCCCCGGGTCAACGGCAAGGGTCAAAGTGTTGCAGTGTAGCGCCGCGGGGTGCCGCAAGGGTGCCGCGGGACCGCACGGGGCCCAGCTCGCAACCCCCTGAGAAAGCAGGAAGGTGAGACACTCACACATTCTCACCTGGACACGCTCAGCCCCCCCCCCCTCCACTCACACACACGGCGTGTGCCCGCGACACGCGCGTGCCACGGCGTGGGTGCTCTTTTGCGACACGCTGTGGCGCTGCGATTAGCCCGACAAGTCCCCGAACAACACACTCCACTCCAATGCGTGACAAAGCAGCACGCCATACCTTCTGTTGTACATACCGGGCGATTCCGAAAGTCCGTTTCGTTTCTCTGTCTCTCTCGCGCCGCCAAGAGTGCGCGAAGTGGGACAGAGTGCGACAGAGCGAGAAGGTGACACTCGTCGAAGGTGGCACAAGTCAATGTGCTGCTGCCGCTTGCCGCCCCGCCGCCGCCCCCGCCGCCCTCTGCGAGGACCCCGACGCCGTGCTGGCCTGCTGGCCTGCCTCGCATTCGCGGCCGTCCAGCGACCCAGCAATCCGGCGGCCTGTTCGCACGTCAGTCTTGGCGGCGGCAGAGGCAGGCTCGGCGGGGACGCTCGCCTTGTGCACGTGCACCCTGCCGCCACGCCGCCTGGCCTGCCCCGTCAGCTCATGTCCACGTCCAGGCCGAGCGGGACCTCCTCGGCGTGTCGGCGTGATGGCCATCCCGCAGACCGATACCGAGAGTCGTTTTCGTCGCTCTCTCTCCCCCGCACCGATACAATACAACCACTGTGAGTGCGAGAGAGACAGAGCGACGACAACGACCCTCGGAATTGGTCCCCCGGGTATCTTTGTCATCATTAGCTGGGCGCGGGGCTTCGCCTGCCGCGCCGCGCCACTGCGAACTGGGCCGCGGCGGCATTGACTACTTTCCCATTCAGCCCCAACCAACAGGTTTCGGCTCTTTTTATGATTCGTTTATTATAACGCATTTGTTTACTTTGTGCCGTTTTTTGTCGCGGCGTGTGGTGGCGGCGGGGTCACGACCAAGGCTGGCCAAGGCAAACCCTCCAATTCGAGGCAAGGCGGGGGCAAGGCGGGGGCAAGGCGGGCCTAGCGTCCACGCTCGGCCCGGACTCGCCGGACTCGCCCCGCACACTGATTCTGAGAGTCGCTTTCGTCGCTCTGTCTCTCTCGCACCTATGCGGGACACCCCATGAGTGCGAGAGAGACAGAGCGACGACTCTCGGAATCAGTCTGCCGACTAAAGAGCCACCGGACTGCCATTAAGAGTGTGGCAACATGGCCAACATGGCGACCGTCCGGTCCGAGTGGCTCCGAGTCTGTGCAGGTCCGGAGCACCAGGGCCAGCACGGCCAAGTCGCCCTGTCTCTCTCGCACCCCTGCGGCGGAGCGCCTCATGAGTGCGAGAGAGGCAGATGAAAGCTCCATTCGGGATTCGCCTGCTGCGCCGGCTCCAGGCGTCGCGGCACGGCCTGCCAAGTGGACCAGCAGGACGATTCGCTTTCGTCGCTCTGTCTCTCTCGCACCCCTACGGGACACCCCATGAGTGCGAGAGAGACAGAGCGACGAAAGCACTGTTCGGAATCGGCCTGCAGGGCGGCTTCCTCGCGAACGTCGCCACGGGGCGGCGGGCTCGGAGCCCCTGTGGACCACCGCATAGGCAAGCCTGCAAGACGCGCGTGCAGACGGGTTGCCTGTTGCCTACCTCGCAGGCGCCCCGACTATCGCTGCCTAGCAGCGCGCAGAGGGAGGAACCGAGAGGCAACGTTACCACCACGCCGCACAGTGCGCCAGAAGACCGGTGGAGCGGCCAAAATTCTAGACGCGTTTTGAGCTCCAGAGTCGCTAAATGGGAATCGAACCGAACGTGTGACCCCACCAATGGATAGCTCTCCGAACGAGGAATCCATTGGTGGGGTCACACGTTCGGTTCGAGTCCCATTTAGCGACTCTGGAGCTCAAAACGCGTCTAGAATTTTGGCCGCTCCACCGGTCTTCTGGCCCACTGTGCGCCGCAGACTACACTGAGAAAAATGTTTTGATGCCGGTACTGAACTTTGTTCGATTGATAAGGCTTTGTCGCAGGTAATAAACGTTTTGGTAACCAGGTAGAAAGAGTTTCGTCGTGAACACTAACCCCTTTTGTATGCGATAAAAATCGTGTTTTGTCAGCACAAACGAACAACTTTGGTCCATCCAATCAAAATCAAAATGATGTACACTATGAAAGTGGTTCGATTGCCGCCAGTTCAGTCGTGGCTACTAAACTACTTTGGACTTAGGTTGGTGTATCGATAGAATAACACAACGCTCGACAGGACTTATGATGA